AGCATTGGTGTAACTACAGGGGAGCCCAGGGGTGCCGGGCCCCCCCAGGTACTGCAGGGCACCCCCAGAGAAATCCTGAATTATGACTCTTACCTACGTATTAATTTTTATTTGCTTGCGATGCAGTAAAAATGACGTTTTTTAGTTTTGTTTAGTTAATATTATTTTGTTGAGTTCAAAAAATGTGTTGATTTTTATTTTTTTAGAAAATTTGTAGGTATTTAAGTAATCTACGGGAACACGGTTTGATAACCAAGTCTATGAAATTTATTGATGAAGAAATTCATGTAAACGTTTTATTCAAAAAATATGTTTTTGAATGCTCTTAGGTAAGTTCTTTGGATTGACAAGGGGTTTTTAACAGACAGATGTGCAATATCAATATTATTAAAAATATTGTGCATTCCTATAGTATTATCCTTCCATATAGCTACGACAAATTATAACGTGTACGGTATCTTTACTACCACAAATACGACCTGACCCACTTTAGCCTTATTTTTAAAATGGAAAAAGCAACGAGAATTATTTAACGTTTCGAGAGGTGGGGTGTTATGTCATCAGTGTCGGCGACGAGACATAAGTCTGGGAACGAAAAAGTGCAAAAATTTCTTAACTCTTTATTTTCTCGTTTAATTCTCGCAAATGTTGGAATTCAGTGAGTATTGAATTACGACGATAGTCTTTATTATTAACCAATTTGATCTTAAAATGAGTTTTTCAAAATTTTAAACTAGCCGTTTTTAATCGGCAGTTCGCAATCAACCGCCATGGAATATTGAGACGCCCAGTATTTAAATATAATGTAATATTTAGATATGTGTAGATACAAAAAAGGGACAGCTGTAAAGAGTGAAATACCACCCTGTAAAACACTTCCTAAAAAAAGAAACAGATTAATCATGCCATCGAAATCATTAAATATCGACAATCGACAATTGCCAAGTCCTGTCGGCCAGGTGGTCAGTCGTGGTCCTGTTTCAGCTGCCCACATATCATTTTTTGTCCGACCATATTCATATAACAATGATTTCATAGATTTTATTGTACAGGTATCGATGGACATAGAAATCTACAATATTATTATATCGAATGACTAAGCGAGCTAAAAATATTATACATTTTACTAGGGAATATACATATAGAATGTTCAGCCGTCGTTCAACGTTACGTCATAATATATTGAACTTTCTCAATCACTTGACAACCAGATGAAAGAGCGAATTGTTGCATATTATTGCATATACATTTGATTTGGGATTATCTTCCTCCGAGGGTACACACCATTCCACGGTTGGAATTTGGCCCTCCGTGCCGCCATTCACAGTCGAGGAGCTTGCCTCCGGCTGAGGAACCCGTGAGGTGGAGGCTGGAGGATCTGTCTCCATTTTCTCCACCTCTTTCACTTGGTCTCTCCTTAGACCTGATACCGGTGTTGTCCCGTATCTATAATAGAGGATATGTCCCTCGTTCTCTATTGCCTCCTTGGATTTGAGGTCAATTCCTATTGTGAGGACCTGACCATGACCCTCCTCCCTCGAGTTGATGACTCGCCAACTCGATGTCCTTACATTGAAGTTCTGACCCTGGACAAGGCTCAGCAGGTAGGTGGTGTCTTTCCCCTTGCTCCTCGGCAGAAAGACCGTGCTGGCCGCCCCTTTAGAGATGTTTTCTTCCTTCACTGCAATCAGTTCCGGCCCCTGCCAATTTTTAAGGCCCTCTTAGGCCTATAAAAAATAAGCATAATAAACCTTGGACCACTAAAGGTTTACGCATATCTTCTAAAAACATGCGTTCGTTATCTCTCTTAAAAAAATTCTCAGACAGTCTCTTCTTCCACAATTACGTAAAACTATACAGAAAAATTTATCATAAGACTATAAGAGCCGCTAAGGACCTTTATTATAATAGGAGAATAGTCAATTCTGGTAATGTTGCTAAGGAAACATGGTCTATTGTGAATGAGTTAAGAAACAAAGCTTCTTCGTCTAGCAATATCTCTACCTCGCCTGAGAACCTTAACGATTACTTTGTAAATGTAGCGAAAAACTTAACTAATACCATATGTCCTCCTCATGATCCACTTTCTTATCTCTCTAATGATAATGTAAACTTACACAGTTTCTTTTTTTCGCCCGTAGTTCTTGAAGAGCTTCGCAGTACAATTAATACCATCAAATCCTCTTCTGGGACCGACGGGCTAACTTTAAAAATGTTTTCGAATCTGCCAGAAAGCACTCTGAATCACCTAACAACTTAAATAAACATGTCGTTCCAAAATGGTATTTTTCCAAAATGTCTTAAGACGGCAATAATCATTCCTCTGCATAAAGGCGGAGACAAAGATGAAGCTTCTAACTATCGCCCAATTGCACTCCTTCCAACGCTATCTAAGATCATAGAAAGGTTGGTTAAAAGAAGGCTGGTATCTTTTGGAAGGCTTTTCTGTTTAAGTACAAAATACTTACTGAATATCAATTTGGATTTCGAAGCAACAAGTCCACAAATGACGCTATGTTTTCCCTGCTTAATAATGTTTACTCCAGCCTAAACAACCATCATTCTACAGCAACAATTTTCTGTGATTTTTCTAAGGCGTTCGATTGTGTAAATCATAAGATCTTAATTAATAAACTGCAGCACTGTGGGTTCAGGGGATCATCTCTCGAATCGTTTAAGTCGTATCTGAGCGACAGAAGTCAACTTGTGAGGGTGGATACCACGTTGTCTTCTAGCAAGCCAATAGAATGTGGAGTACCACAAGGCCCAGTACTAGGCCCTATTTTGTTTCTTCTTTTTATTAACGACATTGCTAACATAAACATCAGTGGCAAAATATGTCTTTTTGCGGATGACACTAGCTTCACTTGGAACAACAAGGACATCACGGCACTTCATAGGATTATATCAAATGACTTAATCACCATTAAATCTTGGTGCGATTCGAACCTCCTGACTCTCAACATTTCTAAAACTAAAGCTTTGTCGTATAAAAACTCGTTGCAGCCTTTTGTACTTAACAACACCACCATTGACGTCGTCAAATCTGTAAAGTTCTTGGGGCTTGTTGTGGACAATTCTCTGAAATGGGACATACATATCGAAGCTTTGTCAAAAAATTGAGCTCTGCCTGTTTTGCATTAAGGTACTGTTTCTAAGGAGCTTAACTTGTCAGTGGCTAGAACTGTTTATTATGCACTTTTTGAGTCGCACCTCAGGTATGCCCTTCCATTCTGGGGTACGTGTTGTGCGACTCAATTTGACCGCATTTTCAGGCTCCAGAAGAGAGCTGTTCTATATTCACTGGGACTAAACAGCAGAACTTTTTTAAAAAATTAAAAATATTGACTCTTCCTTCCTTATTTATATTTGAATCCATTTTCCTAATAGGTAAACATGTATCAGCTTCTCAAGGAAGGTCATCTCACACTTATCCACTCAGGAACGCGGAGCAAGATCTTTTCTACCTAAGGCAAACTGCAGGTTGACTCTGTCACGTTCAAGAATATGTTAGGGATCGGTAAGTTAAACGTAGGTTTAGACACCTGTACTATTTATGAATCCTTAGATATTTCTCGCTGTTTTCAATGTAATGGTTACAATCATACTTCTAAAAATTGCAAAAGTTCTCAGTGTTGTCCACTGTGCTCTGAGGAGCACACAGTTAAATATTCGCCATTGAAACGTATGCAGGATGCATATAATTTATATCAGTGTAATTTTGATATTTTCAGCTGCAGTTTGGTTTCGGTTGTTAGTTCAGTTTAGTGGTTTTTCTTGGTTTATATTGTTGTTGTTTTTTTTCATTGATATGTATTTTTTCTCATTGATGTTATTTTTTATTTAATTTAATTATTTTGTATTGAATTTTTTTTGTGTGTAACCCACTCTGTAATTGGCGTAAGCTGTAGAGTGTTGTAGAATAAATAAATAAATAAATAAAATAAATAAAACTACAGCTCAAAAAAAAATGTTAGTATATTTTTCTAAAAAACTGAAGTTAAAATGTTAAATAGAAAACGTATTATAATGGTTTATTGCAATACCGAGTCACCCTGTATACTGAGTCAAGTTTAATTAAATTATATTGGATTTCTAATCAACTTTTTTTTCTTCAGTACCACAGTCCAGTAGTTTAACTTCCTTTTTTTCTACATTCTATTGCTTCTTCTTCCTTCAATAAATATGTTTTAAAATATGAATCGGAAATTAGATTGCTATCAATTTGCTAATTAAATGTTACTGAAAACAGGTTCTAGATAATTACATACATACCGAGAGAGATACTTTGCCGTTGCAAGTACTGTCATATTCTTTTTATTTCTCACTAGCAGGAACTTCATTAATTTCATAAACATGAAATAAATATGATCAAAGCAAAACCTTTGAAGGCGGGTAAAAGGACAAATAACTCAAAATCTTTAAGTTGTTTAATTTAAATTTTAATGCTTAAAAAAACAAGGGGGCCGACATGTTTCGGGAATTTAAACTATTCCCATCATCAGGCCCAAAGCTAAAACAATTACAGAGGTCAAATTTAAAATACAATCACAAAAAGTTAAAAAGTCAAAAATTTTTTTACAAAGTCAAAAAGTTATATCTATCACAAAAATTGTTCAATCACAGATAACAATATGGAATGCTAAATTTGAAAAATTAAAAACAACTAGACTAAAATCATAAGGTGAGGGGAGCCGTATAATCAGCTTTAATTAGATAAATTGAAAGAAAAAACAAACAAGGCAATAATCAAATCATACCTCAATGTACAATTCAAAGAAATTTACTTAAGCATTAGTTAAATTTATTTTGAGTGATATATTTTTTTATTTATTTTTTTTTGTATTAGTAATGTAAGTTGAGAATTAATTATTTCAATCTGTACTTTGTATTCCTCCTTCAAAACCATTTTAGAACCATAAATACAAAATGACACACCCTTCACAAGCCTGGTAGAACACCTTTGGTCAGTTCAGAACCCATTATTATCTAATAAACTATTCATATTTCGTCGAAGACGTAACTTATACAGCTGAAAATGATCGGCTGAAAAATAAAACACAAGCCTTGCAACAGGCCCAAGGCCCGATGGTATATGTCCAGGTGTAAAATGCGGGCTAACCAAAATAAAATTAATAGATAATAGGCTTAAAAAACGGCGATATACATCTTTTGGTTTTAGTCTGACTTTAGTTTTAACAAGGGCTGGTTGGAGTGTTTAGTTCTTGTTCAGAATTAAAGGGCTGAAAGTTAGGAGGGTAATAGTGAAAGTGTTTGTGTCATGTGAAAGATATAATATAACGAAATTATGTACGGGTACACTTCATATGATCAAGAACCTGATTACTACTGGACTACAGAAGAACGAAAATATGATTTCTACATCAAATCAACTGAAATGAAGAAAAAACAACGACAAGACAGACATTTTAGCTACAAGCACGTGCCCCATAGTGAACGACCGCCTCAAGTTGTCGAAAAAAGAAATGCCAGGGAACGAAGAAGAGTTCAAGCAGTGAACAGCGCTTTTGTCAAATTGAGAAACGCCATACCTATACAAAATTCCAGGTAAAAAATTGAGGTTTTTTCGAAAAATCTTTCTCATATTTTGTTAACATTTTTTTTTTATTTTATTTACTGTGTTTATATTTTTACCTATATTTAGAAACCACATATTGCTACATTTTTATGAAACTAAAAATGCTGCATACTGATTTGTCCTACCCTTCTTAGTTTCGGAAATACAGGGATATTTGAAATTGTTGCATTTTTCCGACTCCCCTTGTATCTTGGTTATCTTATAACTTATCGAAAAGGTGAAACTTTTTGAGTTTTTCTCATATCTCTGAGTTTTTCACGTAGAATCCAGTGGCGTAGGAACTGTCATTTTTGAAATATGACTCAAACTTAAAATTCGCCCTGGATTTCGGTAACTAAGGGGGCTAGGACCAATCTGTGTGTAGCATTTATAGTTTCATAAAAAAACTAGCACGGTGATGTAAAATCCGCATCTTTGTATCTCTACTAATAAACGGAAAACCCCATAAAACACACGAAAATGGGATTATCCTGTCCTGTACTGTCATACTGTCATACGTTAAGAGATATATGTAGTCTCTTTTTGGAGAGACTACATATATGTATATATCTCCTAACATTATTTAAATTTTGTAGGGATCCATTGTAACATTTTTTATTTTTTTTAGGGGCAAAAGAATAAGCAAGGTTAAAACCCTGTTGCACGCCATTGAGTATATTCGACTATTGAATGGACTGTTGCGAGATTACGGAAATTACGCCTGCTCTTATGAAACGGTACTACCTTAATCAGACTTTTTTCTATTAATAATACCAAACTTATTTCCTTCTTATAACATTTAAAAACTATTTTTATAACCAATAGTTTTATATTAATTTTTGTATTAGATATAGTTACGAAAATTGGAACTATTAGAATATTTTTACAGTAATTTTATGTAAACCAAACTTATTTTTCTATGGTACAAGGTGTCTCTAGATAAGTGCCAGATCTCTAAAAGTGACAAGATGACCTCTATAACTTCTTTATTTTTTCCAATAAAAAAACGAGATTTGGTATGTTAATGTATGATATAAATCAGGATTGATTGACGTATTCCATTATTTTCGGTCGCTTCCTGTTTCACCGGAAATGACTACGACCTTTGATTTTTAAATGGTACTCTCGTTATTTTTACTTTATTTGATAGAAAAAGATATTCTGAATAGAATGACAACTTTTGACATTTTTAATTAAAAAAAATTGCATTTTAAATTTGTATGATCCAGTTGGTTGGGAAATAACAATCAATGACATTTCCCATATAAATTTACATATAAAATGACAGTGATCTTCATTTCATAGCCATCACTGACGCCGTTTTTTCGATAATGCGGTATTTTTCTTAGAAGATCTAATATATTTATTTCTCTAATATGAATAATATTTAAGGGTCAACTTTCGTTTAGCTGAAATCAGTTCTTAGAAAAAAAAATTGTCTTTGAAAAGCTACTGTGAACCACGGAAAACACAAATTTTCCTGCGGAAATGCGTAATTTCCAAATTTCGGACTTTAGAATAACTGAAATCTGCTATAAAAAAATACATTTTGCGTTTGATTTTTAATATTTTTTCTGAACACATAAACACAAAAATTTTCCTGCGGAAAGTATTTTAATGGCCCGTTTTATAAAATTGTGGTACTGCTTTCAAGAAAAAAGTTTTTTTTGCATTTATACATATTTATTCTAATAAATTGAACAGTTTCTGGCGAAAAATAAAATATATGCATCTTCCTCATTGAGGAAAATAAAAATTTTCCTGCGGAAATAAACTGTATGCATTTTTTGAGGAAATTTAATAGACTTTAGAATAGCTGAAATCTTAGAAGCGTTTAAAAACTCAGTAAAATAAAAAATTTCCTGCGGAAATGCTTGATTTTCATTTTCCATTTTTGTAAGCATAAATACATAAAAAAATATCTTTTTATCACTTTTGAACCAAAAAAAATCATTTAAAGGTGTCTAAAATGCTAACCAATCTAATAATAAATCTAATAATATTTTTACAAAATCACAGTTAATTATTAAAATATAAAAACCACAGCTTAACACCCTCCACAAAGAAAAGCTAACCAAAGCAACCAAAATCCTAACCAATCTAATAATAAATCTAATAATATTTTTACAAAATCACAGTTAATTATTAAAATATAAAAACTACAGCTTAACACCCTCCACAAAGAAAAGCTAGCCAAAGCAACCCAAATGCTAACCAATCTAATATTTTTGCAAAATCACAGTTAATTATTAAAATATAAAAGAAAACTGCATGATCCAACGATTTCTTGTTTTGAATCAACCCTATTTATGTAAAGCTTTAATAAAAAACAAGAATAAGTGCAACATTCCGAGGTACTTATAGTTTACAAGAACCTATATTATCTATTCTGAAAGAATTGTTATTCCTCCGAAAGATGTTTTACCCCACCCAGCACCCCTATTCGCTCCCGGGTTCCGTAAACTTCTAAACTGAAAAATGTATGAGAAACAAAGTGCACAAAATGACATTGACACATTTCCGCACGAATTTTTTTGTATTTCTTTGCTCGTAAAGGCTCGTATAAAACAAATATAAGTTCATTTTTCATGTAACTGATTTCGACTATTCTAAAGTCAAACCATTTTTTTATGTAAAATAAAAATAAAAAATCTCCGCAGACACTTTTTTGTGTTTTTATGTTTAGAAATATGTCTAAAACACACCCCGAAGACTAGTTTTGATGTAACAGATTTCGGCTATACTAAAGTCCGAAAAATGAAAATGACGCATTTCCGCAGGAAAATTTTTGTATGTTTGTACTCTTAACGCCTTCTGAAAGTTGAGCCATATTTAATAATGATATTTTCTCATTTTTTAGGAAAAATACGAAGGATACGAGTGTGACATTGGTGACAGTTGTTGGGACCCGGAACAGGACATCGTAGATGAAATTTTAAGTTAACACGCAAGCAAACATAAACCGTTTACTTCCGTATGTAACCATTCGTACTACAAAGAACGACATTGTAACTTAATTATGACCTAAGTCAATAATTTATTTTTAGCACATAGAGATTGTCTTGTTTCTAAATAAATAACTTAAAAATGTGAAGAACGAACCATTTACATACACTATGCAATAACCAAAATTTGATTTTAAAAAAAAAATTAAGCAATTTTTTATAAAATCTTTTTAGAAATAGTTTTAAAACAAATCAGTAAAGCATCTAATCACTTTACGTAAGACAATCACAAGTATTTTTATAAATATCTTAACAGAGTTTTTTTGTAATATTTAATTACGTTTTTTTTTATAGGGACAATAAAATCTGTTACGCCACTGTTTAAACTAGTCAAATTAAAAATCTACCTCTAGTCAGAAGTACATCAAATGTAATTTAAGTAAATATGTATACTTTTTTGTAATTTTATAACAAAAATGAATAAATATTTTGAAAGAAAAGTTTTATATTTCTTTTTTTATTCCTAATTCCTAATATCTCGATGTTTAACAGAGTTCCCTGTTTAGAATCATCATCACTATTTAGTATTCTAATACCAACGTATTTTTGAATTAAGTATGATGGTACCCACATAATTCTCGATTTTTCAACTAGGTATCTAAATAAATTTGTCTTAAAGTACCACTTTTGGTGTTCTGAAACATGAAACAATAAAAAATACAGAAAAAAAACTTTTAAAAACCAGCAGAAAGCAAGGTCAAGCCCTAGGTGCCATTTATTTGGCTCGTAGTCATGTTTAGATTTTAATGGCACTTACTGATAGGTTGTAATTTATTTTTATATTGAGTAAAAATGTTTTTTAAATGACGTACATACAGGTTGTCCCACTTAAGATGGATACAAGCCAATATCTTGGTTGTTTGTTGAGCGTACATTTTGCCCAGACGTACATTTTGCCCAGGGTAAGAAATGCGATACCTCATAGACGTACGTTTTAATGGGGTTTGATATTTTTCGAGTCAAGAGTAAACTACCCTTAGAACAGTATTTATTTCAAATCTGATAAATTGTATTGAAGCCTCTTTACCCAAGATACTTAAGTTTTAATTTTGATAAATATTGGTACAGGGTGTGTCATTAAAATAAGACATTTTTATTTTTATTATTATTTTTTTAAGTAATTACGACGCCACTGGATAAACAACTGGTTTATTATCGTTAACCAATTATAACCAATTATCAATTAATAATCGATTTAAGTTTTCAGATAGCTTCCATAATAATTAAGATACGATACAAAAAAACTTTCTTTAGAGCATATTTTTCAAAGTTAATAGTGATTGTTTTAAATATCTAACTATTGGGATTTTTTAAAATATTCCTCAATAAAACGAATAAAAATCATATTTCAGATTCCATTGAAAACTGGGGTTTTAAATTATTTTGTAACACATTTTATTCATTTGTATTAGCAAACTTAAAAAACAATTTTTTAAAGTAAACAAAATAAATTGAAAGTATTTAGTTTTTTTGTATCGTATCTTAATTATTATGGAAGCTATCTGAAAACTTAACTCGATTAATAATTGATAATTGGTTATAACTGGTTATTGATAATAAATCAATTGTTTACCCAGTGGCGTCGTAAGTACTTAAAAAAATAATAATAAAAATAAAAATGTCTTATTTTAATGACACACCCTGTATCAATATTTATAAAAATAGAACTTAAGTATCTTAGGTAAGGAGGATTCAATATAATTTCTCAGATTTGAAATAAATACTGTCCTAAGGGTAGCTAACTCTTGACTCGAAAAATATCAAACCCCATTAAAACGTACGTCTATGAGGTATCGCATTTCTTACCCTGGGCAAAATGTACGTCTTATAGCCATACAGCCTCCTGCCAAAAATGAAAAAGATCGCTCAACAAACATCCAAGATATTGGCTTGTATCCATCTTAAGTGGGACACCCTGTATTCAAGAAACAAATTCAAGAAAAAACAATTTATTTTGTGTGTCTGGAAAGTTCTATCCTTTTTCAATCTTTCTATAATTAGTGTTAATTTTTTACAAGTTTTATGTCAATATTTGGTAAATGACGTCTAGAGATTGGCCTCGCCAAAATTATCATCGATTGTTATTCCCCAGCCGTCTTTAACGTCGTTTTTTTTTCGATACGGTATTATTTTATTCGTATACGAATTAAATAACTACAAGAAATATAAAAAAGATAAAAAGATTAATAGTACGTATAAAAACATCTTTACAGGTACAAGACAATGAAGCAGATAAGATATTTTATTCTTTACCGAGAATTAAATTCGAAGAATTCCTAGTCCCTACTTCTTTGCCAAATTCAATAGTCTCCGCCCCTTTTTACGTTTTAATTTCTGCCACCAGTTGGCAGCATCGACTTATACAGGCACATTGACTAACTATTAATATATAAACAAGGGTAATAGCCTTGTTTATATATTCGTAGTAATAGGAACTCATGTTTTAATACAGGAGAAATATACAATATGATCGAAAAAAAAACAGCGTCAAATGCGGCTGGGGAATGAAATCAAGATCGCTGTAATTTTATATGTAAAATTATTTGGGAAATATCATCGATATTCATTTCCAAGCCAACTGTACGCCGTTTTTTCGATCATACGGTGACCAAAAAAAACGGCGTTATGTTATATCCAGTTGCAAACAAAAAAAACGAGATTTGGTTTTGGTATCTTACTATATTACATAAATTAGGATTGATTTGACGTATTGAATGGAGCGTCCGGATTGCACAACGACCTTAGCGTGTGGCCGCGGGCAGCCCAGTAGGCAAGCGAGACAGCGACGCGCCGATTTAACAAAATAAATAATTTTAAACCTGCCGTCATTTCGTTAATAATGATCGTAGCGTGTTGATTTTTGCATAGAAATACTCATGAGACTTTAGCGCTTCTGACAAGCCTAAATAACTGGATTATTTTTTTATATTTTCGATTTGTTTACATTGCCAAAGCAAAGACTGGCAGAGCCAAACTGACAGATATGAATACTATCATTTAATTAGTTATGCATTTAGTTACAACATATTCAAAATTTAGGTCTATCGGTTTATGCTAGCAGTAATAACGAGTATAAATAAAAAAAAATGGTCAGTACAACGCTCGCCGTTTTTAGCACACGTTCAGCTTTGGTTTTAGTTTTTGCGCTATTTTTACAGAAAATAAATTCTGAACTTTGATCAAATGACAAGAACATTATCATTGCCGATATCCCCTGGTTACAATGTAGTTCTTTTTTCAAAATATTGCATTGTTTTAGCTTAAAAAAAAACTTGAATTATGCGGCTTTTTTGCGAGAGCTACCGGCGCTGCGTTAATAAAGAGATGGCTATGTTACATACATTAAGTTATAATATGCTCGGGCAATGTAAACAAATCGAAAATATAAAAAATAATCCAGTTATTAAGGCTTGTCAGAAGCGCTAAAGACTCATGAGTATTTCTATGCAAAAATCAACACACTACGATAATTATTAACGAAATGACGGCAGGTTTAAAATTATTTATTTTGTTAAATCGGCGCGTCGATGTCTCGCTTACTTACTGGGCCGCCCGCGGCCACGCGCTAAGGTCGTTGTGCAATCCGCACGCTCAATTGTTTTTGGTCACTTCCTGTTTCACCGGAAATGGGTACAACTTTTGATTTTTATATGACACTCTCGGTATATTTCTACTTTATTCGATAGAAAATGACAGTCTGAATCGAATGACACATGTCAACTTTTGACATATTATTCATATATGGTTTATTTAAAATTGTAACATGCGGTTCATAATGACAATTTGACTCGAAATACCAAGTGTCTGGTATCAAATTATTCGTAAAAAAATGCTTTTTCCAAATATGCTAATGAGCCACCCTTGTTCCATTTGAAAAAATTGAGATATGATTTAAAATACGATTTGGGCATCTATAAACCGGCCAGGACAAGACACGAAAAACATTAGACGATCAAAACTATTTTTCCAAGGATGCTTGATTAAAAATTAGTGTTTTTAACACAGCCATGGCACTCTAGATTGAAGTTTAAAATACGATTTGTTTTTAATCGAAAATGTCAAAAGTTGACATATCATATGTCAACTGAAGTGACCAAAAACAATTGAATACGTCAATCAATCCTAATTTTTGTCATATACATACTAATATACCAAATCTCGTTTTTTTATTTCAAAAATTAAAAAAGTTATAGGGGTGAGCTACTATTCAGATGCACCCGGTATAGGAAATAGGAAGGACTGTAAATTTCAAAGTGCAAGACAGCCAGTTGACCGGCTGGTACTGAGTAGGCTGTGGCTTAAACTCAAGTTTAAGTCTTAGATTAATTTTAAGTGTTTATACGGAGTTTTTGCCATCAATCATATCCAAATACGGGAAAAACGAGGCGATGCACGTAATGACGGATAATTTCGACCAAGTACGCATCAGCGTACTGTGGTAGTACCGCAGCTAAATAATTTCTTCGTCAATTTCCTCCGATACCTTAGTTATATCCGTCCACCTGTTGGCGAGAAGGAAACCCTAATTATACCGGTTTCTCCAACTGCGTAGTACTTTTCTGTTCGGCACTACTCGTTTTATCTTCTTCTTGTTCTTCTTCATCCCAGCAAAGGAACTCTATATTTCTTCGACTTCCTGTCGCAGCAAATGCGTGTTTTTTCGAAGAAATGTTTTCGAATCTGCTGTAGCATTTTTCTTGTTACTTTATTTGTAGGTATGGATGTAAGTTAAAGCCGAGGATATATTATTTAATTTTAACTTATTTACTTTTAAATTTGATTATAACATACATACGGTTATACACTTTCAACCATGATCAGTAATAAATTATAGCTGCCCTAGCGAAATAGGCCTCTATAGAAACGCAAGTACAAAATAGAAAAGGCAAATATAGAAACTCTCGCCATAATATACAAAGAAGCCAAAGCAAGAGTAATCTATAAAATCCTTAAGTGACTCACTGATTAATTACGATCCTGCTCAAACCACTCAACCAAAGAATATTATAGTTAACACGTATTCGTAGTAGAATTATCTTTGACTCAACGTAAGAAGCTCAATTTTGGCATATAGGTTGATTCTAGGGTGTAGAGGTTCGATAAGAACGGATTTTTCGAAATTCCAGTTCCAAGGGTGTGAAACCACCCTCAAATATTACAATATTTTTTATTTAAAAAACGGTCAAGTTTCCGAATAAACACTTAAACACGTATATTTAATTTTGTTTTCTACATATTTTAAGTTTTTTTAAAAATTTCTACAGGGTGTTTCGAAAAATCTGGTCATTATTTGATTGATCACGATCCTGCTTAAAGCGCTTGACGTAAAAAGCTGATTTTTGAAAAACGGATTGACTTTAGGGTGTAGAGATAAGAAGGGATTTTTCGAAACTCGAATTCTAAGGGGGTGAAACCATCCCTCAAATATTAGAATATTTTTTATTTAGAAACCGGTGGGTTTTTCGGAGAAACTCTTACACAGGTATATTTTATTCTATTGTTTTACATATTTTAAGATTTTTTTAAAATTTATACAGGGTGTTTCATAAAATATGACCATTGAGTAATCACGATTCTGCTTAAACTGCTTGACGTTTAAAGCTAATTTTTGGCAAACGGATTGACTGTGGGGTGTAGAGGTTCGATAAGGAGGGGTTCGATAAGGAGGGAGGGAAATTCCAAGAGGGTGAAAACGCCCCTCAAATATTACAATATTTGTTATTTAAAAAACTGTTAGTGTTTTGGGAAAACGCTTGGACACGCATAATTTATTTTGTTTTTTACATATTTTGAAATTTTTTAAAAAATTATACAGGGTGTTGGAAAAAATTGGGTAGGTAATTGATTAACCACGATTCTGCTTAAATAACTGCTTGACGTAAAAAGCTTATTTTTGGCAAACGGATTTTTCGAAAGTCAAATTCCAACGAGATGAAACTACTCCTCAAATATATATTCTATATACTTCAATATCTTATTTCTAGATTTCGATAGGTATGCTATTTTCCCAACTATTTTCCTATGAACTTATATTCATCATGCAATCTAGTATTGTAAATAATAAAAAAAATTAGTCCTTGCGGGCAATATGCTTATAAAATATATCTATTTGATGTACGCACATAAAAACTCTAGGCATAAAAACATGTATAAAATAACATGACGAACATAAATTAACTAATTAAATATTCAGTACTTTGTTGCACGTATCAAAGACAGTATAGTACCCGTCATGTGTAAGGCATTAAGGAACACAGGTACTATTTGTATTTAAATATCATAGAGACAGAAAATACGACTGTTAGGCCGGCCAGAATTGAATGTTAATCCTTTCCTGCGCTAACGGGGCTCCATGAAAATTCTCTCACACAGCCAAAGGACATTATACGCCTATACAAGGACGTGTCCTTAATGTTTTATTACTGTTTTTTCATGGAACGACCACGGCTCATTTATATTCGGTTGCAATAAGGTCCTATTGGCAGTTTCGAGAATTTATTACTTACATATTATGAATGTTTCGTATGTACGGAACATTCTCATGGCATAACAATATATGTTTTTCTTTATTATGCCATTGTTTCAAAAGAAATGTCTAAAGTATGTCCAACAATCAGGAAAATTTTCGAAAGACGACTTCCAAAAATGTATATCTATAGAAAACTATTAACTGTGTTCTGTGTAGAGAAGTAGAATATATAAATTAGATAAATACCACCTTAAAATATGGAATATTTTGTGGAATTCTTTTCTAAACTTATGAAACACTCTGTATATTGAATTTCTTTTATATATTTATAGGTATGCAACCAGATATATAAAGTACTGTATTTTTAGTTGCATAACAGTTTTTCTTCTTTTTAACATTTAGGCTTTAAATCACTGGTACAGAAGCCAAGTTCACCTAAATACATGGCCACAGTAAGAAAAAAGAAGAAGAAAATCAGTATTTAATATGATTTTCTTAAGATATATTCTTTTTATCAGCCTATATATTTTTAAAATAATTTAAATTATATCAAACATTGCACTTTATTTAAATTAAACCCGTTTATTTGTCTAATAATGCCTAAATTCAAACACAAATTATAGCAAATTTGTATATGATATCTGGCCATAGATTATTAATTGAAAATTGTTAATTTTTAAATCAGCTTTACTGACATTTCGGCTTCGAAAAGAGCGCAATTTCTTAATTTTTATTTTTAACCTGTAGTTATTTGTTATTCTGTTTATTATCGTTAATAATATACAAATGTTAAAGTAACTAATTATCTGTATCAGTTATAATAAAATCAAAATGCCTATGATAGAGCTGAAAGGTGTTCCTGTGGAATTTCCATTCGAACCCTACGAAATCCAAAAGAATTACATGGAAAAAGTTATAGAGTGTTTACAAAACGAAACAACGGCAGTTTTAGAGAGCCCTACAGGCACCGGCAAGACCCTGTGTTTATTATGTGCATCACTGGCTTGGTTGCAACTAAAAAAGACACAATTACAAGTATATAATTTGCTGTAAAACAGTGTACTTTATTTTTTATAATTTTTCCCTCGTAGCTTCAAAGGAGTATGCCTGTTATCCCTAACGAGCAAGAAAATGAGTTTTTGGATAAATTGAATAATGAACTAGAGAAGAAAATTGGTAAAATAGCGACAGGTAGATCGTTTCTTGGTTTACCGACTATCATCTATGCCTCTAGGTTAGTATTATACCAAAAATATGCGTATTATTTTGTCACTAAGGGTCTTAATGTTTGCAGAACTCATTCACAGTTATCACAAGCTATGCAAGAGTTAAAAAGGTCCTCTTACAGTCACATGAGAGCTTCAGTACTGGGTTCTAGAGATCAGTTATGTATTCATCCTGAAGTTATGGCAGAACCAGATCGAGGTCTCAGGGTGCAAATGTGTCGAATGAAACTAGCTACGAGAATGTGTCATTTGTATAATAAAGTAGACCGGCTTAAAGAAGACCATAGGATAAATGATAGTTGTATTATTGATATAGAAGATATGGTAAAATTAGGGGATAAACATAAATTTTGTCCCTATTATATGACCAAAGAGTTACAACAAAGGTCGGATATCATTTTTGCACCATATAATTACTTGTTGGATCCAATAGCTAGGAAAGCCTTAGGTAAGCTTGTTTTTTTTATTGAAATAAATTAATAAAATGAAAATTATTTAGGGTTAAACTTAAATAATAGCGTTGTGATTCTGGATGAGGCTCATAATGTTGAAAATGTGTGTGAGAATTCGGCCTCGATAGAAATAAAAGCTTCAGATATAGCTTTGGCTATTGAAGAAACTACTGGCATAATGAAACTAGTCAGTGAAACAGTAAATTTTAATGATTCGCCACAAGGTAAGTGTAATTTATTAATTTGTATTAAAAATAGGATTGAGAACATTGAAATTATTAGAAATTGGTATATGATATATTTATTAACAATTGAAGGGTTTTTTTATATGATTTATCAGTAAAAATACTATCTAATATATAGGGTGTGCAATTTAAAAAATCTGAGATTTTTGAATTTTAAATAGTTAATATTCATAAATTTATTTTGAACGTCCTGTAGCATGAAACTCAAATGTCTTTACATATATGTTTTTCTTCATCTTTATAAAACTCTTCTACCAAATTTGAGTACTCTACCTTCAAAAATAATACTGTTACCGACAATTTTTTACCATACTGAAATCTAACATTGAGATTTTTTATTTTTAAATAATCAAAATTCATAAATTTATTTTTAATGCTCTGAAGTATCTAACTGAAGTATATTTACATATATATTTTTCTTCATTTCTATAAAAAAAACTCTCCTACCAAATTTGAGTACATACAAAGATATAGAATTTTACTCAGAACCTAAAAATAAAAGCCAACTAACCAAATCAAACTTTTTTGAATTTTGAAGTACCTTGTATACTCAAAAATAATTTTAAATCGTGTATTCCCTAAAACATTCCCTAAAACTTTTCTATTTAACATTTTTTTATAATTAAAACTAACGAGATAATGAACTTTACTCTATCATTGACTCACCCTGTACACTTATTTTACTCAGATATCGAACCGGAAGAGCTGGCAACGCTGAAAGAGATGTTGCTGAATTTCGAAAAAGCATTAGACGAGATAGTTTTGAATAAGACCGAGGAAGTTAACAACTATCCTGGGGATTTTATTTTTGAATTGTTGGAAAAAGCTAGTGTAAGTTTTGGAATTTTATTTGGGTGGCGTCCATTGATAACGTGTGGAAATCAAGGGGGGAGGGGATCCAGCTGAATCTCATACAATCTCACGTAGGGGTGAGGACAATATCAAGTAATATTTTTCAGGCAAAAAAATAATAAATTAATTTAAAGTTTAAAATTAATTAATTTTAAAGTTTTATGTTAAACTGGCTAGGTATTTTTACACAAATGAGCAAGGAAATTAAAGATAAAGGATTATACTATATCCGTATTGTAGCAAATTTTTAGACAACTTTATTTTTAAGATTTTGATGGTTAAAGATCAACAAAATATTCCTTATGCTTGGACTAAATTTACGAAAAAAATAAATAAAGACATAATTTAAAATTCCGTTACAATACGGAAATACAATTGAATTTCTAGGGATTACAATTTTATCACATATATAATTTATATGGTTTTATTGAACAAAAAAAATACACCATTTTACGGCAAATACTGAAGCTCTGCAAACCTTTAATAAAACCATTTTTTACTTAGCACGTGTGTATGGAATTTTACTGTTCATTACAGCCCGACATTGTCGGGCATGCTCCTGAGGCAGGTTTTCTGAAATATCTCTTCTTGAGGCTGGCCACACACGCTGCTTTCACTGACCCTGAACCAGACCCTACAGTTTCACGCGGCATAGCCATTCTCAAAACGCTTCTTTGGACTAATGGACATACGTGCTCGATGGGGTTGATAATAAAAAAATGCCGGCCAGGGTTAGATTTAAGATTGATGAGCATTGATAAACTCACTTACCACTCTGGCTGATGAGGCCGTGCATTGTCCTGCATGAGAATGAAGTTTCTCCCAAAATCATTGGCATATGGTAACGACGAGAGGCTCAAGAATTAAAATCACGATATGTGATTCCTGATGGAAACCTTTGTAAGGACAGGCAGATCGGTTTTCAGGCTAACTGGACTTTTCCCAGACCATAGCTGTTGCCACCTTGAGGTAGGGGTAAACTTACTGAACATGCCAACCTCATACGCCGCTGAAGCTCCACCCTAAGCCTTCTGAATCGGATGAGAGCAGACAACCTTAATCATTATTAAGAAGAGACATTGTTCATTCGACCACTGAACATGATCGGAGAAACAAATATCGTATCTCTCGTTCCGCGTAAAATACAAGAGACGCTCTCCAAGGGGCGTCTGCTTCTTTTGTCTCACCTCTCTTATACCTATTGCGAACAGTGTTTAAATTTGGTTTATTATGTTTCCTGGAGAATTAAACTATAGCTCTGGTGCTGGCAAAAGTCGGTCGGCGTCGAGCATTTTAATTGTAAAAAAGATCTTGCTGAGGGTAGTGCGATGTCATGCCTTGTGCCTTTCAGCAACATCACCACTTTCACGGTAGCGTGCACTTAATCGCGATATTACACTTTGCGTTGTATTTAATGCTACTGAACAAAGAGAGAACAGTAAACCAGCTTCGAGCAAACGTATGGCCCTGAAATCGCCTCTGAGAAGATGTGCACGCTCCATAAGAGACGTGGAAGGGATAGCAGCAGATTTGAATGCAGTCTGACCAGTTGACCCAATCAAAACCTCTGTCAGTACAGGTTAAAGTTCTAGGGACAGGTGCAACCTAATAGTTAACCTACATAGGACTAAAAAATTCAGCCAACACTTCCGCAAATATCCCAAATTTAGAAAACTACTAATGAAACTATTTTATGGGAAATACTGAAGCTGTCATGAAGTTATTAGTCAAAACGTTAATCCCAACGTGTGTTTAGAATTTTTGGGTGTGGCTTAACACGACAGGATCGGGCTTAGCCTTAAGCCCCGTTCTCAGAACTACGTCGTGTACATTGATTGACACTTCAAACGACCAATACTGAAGCTGTACTAAATTTAAAATTGACAGCTGTTTTGAATTTTCCTACAAATCTGATTGGTTCTTTGTCGTGTCGCTGGCGGTTTGACAGTTCTGAGGATGGGCTTTAGTCAGATTTCTGAAACCATAACTATATTTCCCTTCCGGCCACACATACTGGGACTTTACCCTTCCCCTGAGGCTTACCCGAACAGTACAGCGTAATAGCCTCTTAAAAACGCCTCATGTAACTAATGGACGCCCCCATATAAAAAATGAGATAATAAAAAAAATAAATGTATGATTAAATTTAAGATTAATGCTGGAAATTCTTATGTAATTATCGCTCTGATCGATAAAGTAGTTCAGTTCCTATCAACAAAAAATGATGGACCGTTTGCAAGGAAAGGCAAAGCTTTGCAGCTTTTTTCCGATTTTCTAACTATTGTGTTTGCGAGTAAAGGTAGGTAAATATACAGGGTGGCGCCTCTCATACGCCGCTGAAGCTCCAAGAATAAAAATGAAGTATAGAGAGCAGACAACCTTAATATTATTAACAAGAGACATGAATTCTCCATTGCATATCGGGATAATATACTGGACGTTCCGCTTAAAATACAAGAGACGCTATACAATATTCAATATTAATTTTGTCTCACCCAGTATACCTTTTTGGGTCAAATTTAAATTTGGATTAATGTACAATGGTTAGTTTAACTATACTAAGGGCTGGCAAAAGTTAGTCTTGGGTCGAGATTTCCGTATGTAAAAAGAGTATAATGCGTTTATAATGTACTGAACAAAGAGAGAACAGTAAACACGTTGCCAAACGTATGAAATAAACCGAGAAACTGTGCACGTTGCTAAGAGACGTGGAAGGAGATATAGCAGATTTGTCGCAGTCGACCGGTTGACCCAATCAGTACCTCTGTCAGTACTTAAAGTTCTAGGGAAAGGTGTCGTACATCATGCGTTCAGTTCACGATATAATTACGTCTTAACGAGTCGTTGTAATTTTCCCTATAGCTTGAAGATTTTTAAGTGCAAGTTAGTCGCACTTGCATTTTTGATAAAAATAAGTGGAAGTTAGTGTTCGACAGTGGTCGCGCTATTAGAATTCTGAATTCAAAAATCGATATCTCGAAATCTGTTATAAATAATTGATTGTAGTTTTTTAAAAACTTTCTTCTATCTTTCTAAATAAAAAAGTTACACGATTACTGAAAAAATGAATGGGTTGTTTAACATTTTAGAATGGAAAAAACAACCTTATCGAATTTTTCTTATGTAAACATATTGTACATGATCCGATCTTCAAAATAAAAAAAGCTTCAATATCTAAAGTGGTTCTTAAGTTATGGCGTGTTATGTGTTAAAAAGTTGAATTTTTAAATTATCGCGATTACTGACGTTTTCTCGTTATGAAAAATGGACACCCTAACGATATCCTTATAATTTCATTTCAGATGCTCAGAAACATATCTAATGATTTTATCTAGTTACCTTTTCGAAAAAGTCTTAGAAATAAGCGGTTTGCGATCGTGATTTTACTACACCGTCGCATTTCTCTCACTCCGACTTAATAAGATCCCTATGCGATTTACTTCCACACATATGTAAATACCGACCCAAAAGTAACAGTTGCCAGCACGGTATATCAATCAGGCTATACAGGGTAAAAGTTTATTGTTCATTTTTAAATAATGCTTTAAATTAATCAACATATGCTTGCTCATTTCAATACAAACTGTCGTTGGAGCTGCGACGGCATATGAGAGACGCTGTACAGAGTGTACCAAAAAGTTAGCAATAAATGTTAATGCAGAAAATTATGCATTTCAGCTACTAAAGAAAAAGTAAAATGGTGTTATAAAGTACACATACGGGAAGAGGACAAATCAAATAAAAGTAAAAAAGTACTAAACAGCTGGTTGGCCAAGGGTGGTCCAACCAAAAACAGGATTTTGTGTTTTTGGTGTTTTAGTCCAGGATTTGGGTAATAACAGGTCACTTTAATTGTTTTTTTTTTCAAATTTATTTGATATTTTAGTATGGACATGATTTTGAGTAATAACATTAAGGCGTTGATACTAACTAGTGGTACTTTGGCTCCTTTAAAACCTTTTATATCGGAGCTAGAGCTAAAAGTGACGGTACAGTTAGAAAATCCGCATATAATCGGTTCGAATCAAATCTGTGTCAAAATTTTGACAGCTGGTTCGGATGGGGAACCTTTAAATAGCAGTTATCAAAACAGGTAAGTAAAAATATTTTTTCTACGACACTTTCATCAAGTGTTCCGTACCTCAGAATTAAAAAACGGAATCCTTATAATAGTACCAGATCTAGCAACGTCGGAAAAACAAGTATTTTAAGACGTCTGGCTCTTTGATATATCTTTTACTATGCTCTCTAGAACAGCATGCAGAAAAAAAAAAAAGCCCGTCTGGCTGCATAGTTAAGTATTAAATATATTTTTTTGAATCACCAGATTTATTTAATACTTTACTATCAGAATATAAACGAAAATGAAATAAAAATGTCTTTGTCCTGACCCGGATTCGAACTCTGAATCATCGGTTCGTGGTCGGAAACTCTACGCACTGCGCTATGGAGACATGTTCGATTTATATTCAATACTAGAATTTATAGGACTAAATTAATAAAGAATATAGGATCTTCTTCTGATGCGCAGTAGTGAACGCAACGGGTATCGGTAGCCAGACGGGCCGCATGCTATTTCAGAGAGCATAATAAAAGATATACCAAAGAGCCAGACGTCTTAAAATACTTTCTCGAAAACGTTGCTAGCTCTTAGACTATAAGCTTGGTGATGTAAAGCTGTTTCGGGTAGTAAAAACTAAGTGAAAAAGAACCCGAATGTCGCTTTGTGTTGTGGCAATTTCAAATGTTAATAAAATTGTCGAAAAATGTTAACACGTAAAGGAGGGCGTAATTACGTGGTTGTTGAGTGCAATAACATTCAATAACTCACTTTCCCTGATATTCAACTCTACCGAAGCAACGTTTTATCGCTTCACAACTTCTCACTCTCTCGATTTGATCAAAAGCAAAAATGGATTCAAGCAGGTCGACGAAACAAGTGAATAAACAAAGTGCCCGTTACATAATCAAAAAATTAAATAGGTATATACTATGAAAGGATAAATTATATGCAGAAAAAAAATCGTGGGTGTTTGGGAATGTTTCCTTTCGAGCCTTCCTAAACACCCACGGTTTTTTTCTGCGTACTAACTACTGGGAACTAACAATAATTATAATGATAATTATATTTTGCAATACTATTAATGGTATACTTGTGTAAAATCGATTATTTCTGGGGCTTACTCAACCGGGTGTCACAATGCAAATTCACCTCAAATATCCATTTAGTTGGTCATTGGCAAGCACTCTCTCATTGTACATGAAAGTAACAAAACAAACATTTTCTGGTCTGGATAAAATTGATAGTTAAATAGTAAAACTCACCCGGGGGTACTCCGCCCCCTAGCCACTGACATTCTGTTCAATATATCCCATTCCATATCTTCCATCTAATTCAAATATTGTTCGGATCTATTGGTTAATCTTCAACAACTAGCTGTTGTCACCTGAAATAAGTATAGGGGCTTCCCCCGGACGCAAATCTGCCGCTAAACAGATTTGCATCCCTAATAGTCAAAAAGACTCGCAACCTTAGTCAAAAGACTCGCATCCTTAATAGTCAAAAAGACTCGCAACCTTCTCAAAAGACTCGCATCCTTAATAATCAAAAAGACTCGCAACCTTAGTCAAAAGACTCGCAACCTCCAAATGTCAGCTCTGTGACAAAACACAACACAACACTACTTTACAGCCGGCCGGCCCGTCTACTACTGACCCGCCGACAAGCTAAGCCTGACATCGCTTGCCAATGAATCATACTATTCTTTTCTAATCGAGTTTCAAATAGAGTGTTTTAGCATTACTAGATAAATAAATAGAGACTTTCCGAAGGAATGCATATTCTTTATTAGAATACTGAATAAATAAAAGCATTATTATAACGAACTTATTTTCCAAGTTTTACACTTGTTCTAATCAACTAGTGCTTAATTTTTTTATGAACATCTTCTAAAATTATAATAGTAAAAAGGTGTCATTCAAATATGTTCCCAGTATTCAAATCTGCGATCGAAAAAAAAACGGCGTCAAAGTTGGCTTGGAGATAAATCTCACTAACTTTTCACTGTCGAGTTTAGCTGTTTATATGTAAAATGTCGTCGATTTTATTCCAAGCAAACTTTTTACCATTTTTTTTTTCATCGATCAGACATGGCACATGGCACAATGAAATAATTTTTAGGGAGAATCCTAGGTATATCAGCTCTCTGGGCAGGACCATAGTAAATTTAACGCGAATCATACCCAATGGCCTTCTTATTTTTTTCCCTACTTATCCTGTCATGCACAAGTGTCAAAGTTCATGGCAAGAAGACGGTATTTGGAGCAGCATATCCAGTCAAAAAGTAAATTGAACCACCTCTTAATGTACTATAAAGTATTTACTGTTTTTTTTTGCTAATTACTAGGCGATATTTGTTGAACCCAGAGAGAAAGATGCCTTCAACACCGCAATGGCCGGGTACTATGAGAAAGTCAGAGATCCCAGCTTGAAGGGGGCCATTTTTATGGCCGTGTGTAAAGGAAAAGTTTCTGAAGGTAAACATTTTTTTTAAATTTTTTTCATCGCCAAAGCATTTACAAAACAAACAAAAGCAAAAAAAAAATACAATACAAATCATGCAATTCAAAAAAAAATTAGGTCATTAAAATTACAAATAGAACATACAACAATTTTACAATAGGAAAATTGTAAATGGATATAATTTTAAGAGTTATAAAATTTTAAAATTCATTGTTCATGATTATACATCAACAAAAAAGTCGTTTACCGCATATAACCACCGCTCTCTCCAGTAAGTATGATTTCAGAGCTTGGCGAAGTGCGGGAAAGAATGAAAGTGACTTGATATTCAAAGGCAGATGATTGTACATCTCTTTGGAATTGTACAGTACCTTTAACTTGTTCTGAGCTCGGGGTTGGCAGATAAAGATCGTGCTCCGCATTCCTAAGTGGATAGTTGTGAGATGGACTTTCGGGAATAGCAGATATGTGCTTGCGGATTAAGCAAACGGATTCAAAAATGAATAAAGAAGGAAGAGGAGTCAGTATTTTGAAACTGCTCTCTTTTGAAGTTTGAAAATACGATCAAATTTTGTTGCGCAGCAAGTACCCGAGAATGGAAGGGCATAACGAAGATGTGACTCAAAAAGGGCATAATAGGCTATTCTAGAGGTTGATAAGTTAAGTTCCTTAGAAACTGATCTTAGCGGAAAACAGGCAGCGCTTGGTTTCTTTGAAAGCTTTGATGGGCAAGTCTCATTTTAACGAGTTAAGAAAGGAGTAGAATGCTATCCATCCGAGTCTACCCTACATCATATTTTTACACGTTTTGAATAAAATTAAAACGTCACTGATAAACCGGAATTTAAGTTGGCCATTTTAGGGGCCTGTCGCCGTCGATCTAAGATTTTTGATATGCTCCCTCCTTAATATTTTTATTCAAAGAAGAAAATACTACTAGGAGGACTATACTACTGATAATTGTTTCTACTATAATTTTTTTATATTAGGTTTGGATTTTACCGACGCCAATGGTAGAGCTGTCATTATTACTGGTCTACCATATCCACCCTTAAAGGACGCAAGGGTTGTATTGAAGAGGAGGTACTTAGATCAGTGTCATGCGAAAGACCAAGATGTAAGACACTTTTTTAAATAATATTTAATCTCAAATTATTTTTATTTATTTATTTTTTTGAAGTATTTAAGAGGCCAAGACTGGTACTCGTTGGAAGCTTCAAGGGCTGTCAATCAAGCGATAGGTAAGTGACATTATTTGTAACTTATAGACCACTTTTATACGAAGCCACTTGTAGGCAACACATATTAATATTTTATTTCAGGTCGTGTAATTCGTCACAAAGACGACTACGGTGCAATTTTGTTACTAGATCAGAGATTTAATAACTTTAGAATTAAGGAACAAATGTCGAAATGGCTCAGGGGACATATTACAGTTGTGGGTAAATATTCGGAAATCATAAGAGATCTGAGTCAGTTCTTTAGGAACGCACTAAAAACTGTGAGTATCTACAGTTTGGTAAACGGGGAGATCTGACATAACGGGGCATCTCAATATAACTTTCTTTTACACGAATATCTTGTTTGATTTTATTATTTTAGTAGATAGATGTGTGAAATAATACTTCAATCTCTTTTAATTCACTTCCGTATTATATTTGGCGCCCAACGTGGGGCGGCCAATACAAGGTAGTCTGCCAAATGCATCTGAAACAACGGGGTAACGATAAGGGAACGCGGCTTTCTAAAAATATGACCGATTATTATTACTTTTTACGATTGTTGATAAAAAAACAAAAAATATTATGAAGTGATGATTTTCGTTTTTAGTTACCCGCTCCTACTGCCAAGCCTTTTATAAATAAGTTACCGTCAACGTTTAGCGATGACAGTTATAAAACAGGAAACCTAAATTTCAGTACACAGAGTTCTATATCGTTATCGTCCGATTCTGACTGTTCTGTGATATCAAATCCCGGCTGTTCAAATGCTGGTTTTGACTTGATGAGCGTATATACAAGTAAGTTTAATTGTTTGAATGATTTAATTTATGTTTATACAGATTTGGGGTCACAGTAGAAGCGTGGTCTGGATTTTAACGTGTAAGACAGTGATGCAGACAACTTAATAAACAAAAAATTGGTCAAGTGCGAGTCGGACTCGCGCACGGAGGGTTGCATACCATTCATTATCTATACATTAGACACTATATTATTATAAACTTTTTTTCCGATTTAGCTGAAATATTGAATGCCCGTATAAGTAATTTAAAAAAAATGAAGAAACACATTACTAAAAATTGTATTAATCAATAATAAATATGTAAAAAGTAAAAATAAATATGCAAAAATATGTAAAAATTAAAAAAAAAACGATTAAAAAAAAGTCGCCTAGGCTAGAATTCGAACCTGCCTTACTACGGCTCATAGCAGCGTAAAGTCCTAACGCTTTAACCAAGGACTTGAAAGATTCTGTGTAAAATTCTTACTTAAAAGATAATGTTTAGTGAAAGTACTTTTTTATTTATAAACATTTATTTATTTCTGTTTTTAGTATTTGTTCTTATAGCGGCAACATAGATACATTATCTGTAAAAATTTTAACTGTCTAGCTATAACGGTTATCTAAAAATAACAATTTTGTCCACCACTACCACGCAGTATCGATGACCAAATTAGTATACGATTTTGTAAAAATACTTTAAAGATTTTAATGCTTCGTTCTCTAGGCATATTTATGTTTTAAAAACCGCATAATGGCACTGAAGTTTTTTAATTTTTTATATATAATTTTGCATTAATAAAATTACTTTTTTACAGATAAAGAAAACGGTTTAGTAAGAATTTACAGTAACAAACGAGAAAACAGTGAGATTATACAAAGTAACCAGATTAAGAAAAAGAAATACATTGTGCAAACTAAAACGTTGCCTGTAGATGAGGAAAAATTACTTGATCCAAAACAGTCCTTATCTGAATATGTTGCGATGGTATTGTTATCTATTATTATTTATTGGTTATTTTTTTCTTAGACTTATTAACTACTGCTTAGTAATATTTTTATTTATTTTTTTATTATTTTTTTTTGTTTTGTTGATTTTTTTAAATAACTTAAGTGATGATTTTTGAATAAAAATTCTTTATTATATTTTTCTAACAGATTTTTATTTCACTTTCATGAAAATTGGTGTTATCTAAAAGCTGCACAAGTTTATTTTCAGTGCAGTTTGTTAAGGTAACACGATAGAAAGCAAAATTATCTGATTAAATTAAATTTAAATAATACTCTTTTAAACTCGGTTGATTTTACCAATGCTTATTCAAGCTCATGTTTTTGTCAATTTTACGCATATTTTATTTTTTATCTCGAAAACTAATACATAGGTTTAGATTAGTATAATCCAAAAATCTAATAATATACTGAGTGTTCCATTTAAAATAACAAAGATGCTACCACTTTTTAAGTGATCTGGCAACACTGTAACGCTAATAATTTTGTAGATAGATGGAGCAAGTGCTTTTATGTAGAAATTCAAATTTTCCATAAACATCTAAGGTACCATCGCCGTAAATCGCCCTATGTACAGGTTGCTACAAATTCGAGGTACGAGCATTGGTATCTCGGTAACCGTAATAGATACTTAAATATAGATAGATGGTTAAATTGGATTAATTGTTAATTAGATGTTCACCAAGATGAAATCAAAAAAGTTTTAAAAATTTCAAGGATTGCTGAGTTTTTTGGGAAAAACGGATTTCTTTGAAAATAAATGTTATTTTTTCCTGTCGTTAGATTTTAGAAAATCAAAAAACTAATTGCACATTCTCATAACCACTTTATTAGGGCTATCTGATAAGATACAGAAGCCAACTTAATATTTTTAAATACTGTTACGGATTCCGTGGGTCCACTATTTAAACTCACGATAAAATACTTAACGAATTTATTTGTTTCACTCTACACACAACTTATACTATTTACAACACAATTTATGCAACTAGTATTACTCTAACGGTATTTCGCGGTATTATTCAAACTTCAGACTATCTTCAGACTTTAGACTTCAACCTTCAAACTTGTCCAACTGTCAAAGCGCGGGCCTTATATACCCCCTGGCGGTTGTTTCTAGATTTTTCTAAAGAATTCTATAATTTTCTTTACTTTCTGGCGAATGCGCCAGGTTCCTCAATGCACGTTGCGATTTTTTAGCAGTATGCAGTTATGCAACCAGTAATACACCTTGACAATACGGACCTGCATTTTTTATTTCAGATTTTGAAAGAACTCGGTCTCCTGAGTACAAAGATATTTTAAAAGTTTTTTGATGGCATCTTGGTGAACATCTCAAAGCGCAACATGTTCGTATCTATTACGGTTACCGAGATACCAGTGCTCGTACCTCGAATTTGTAGCACCCTGTATAGTCTTTTTTATAAGTTATTTCAGCTAAAAAAACCTCGACTTTTTTTAGGTAAAGAAAAATCTGGGGTCAAATTTCCAGGCTTTCATAGATGAATTGACCGCATACAAGGAGCATAACGACATCAATAAATACTTGGATAAAGTTGACCCTTTGGTTCCGAGCAACTTGAAGTATATTTTCATAGGAATGAGCAAATATATCCGAGAAATGCACAAGGATACGTTCAAAACCTTCTTGAAAAGATACAACTTGAGTATGCCAGAAGATTTATAAGTTACATTAAGACTAACTAAACTTAATTTCGTATTTTGATATATCTTTTTATTTTATAGAATTAGTTAAAAATTAATATATATCTAAGTATTTTATACAGCTCAGATTTTTGTTTTTTAAATTACCTCATTTTTTTATAGTTTTCATAATCGTGGGAATTTTCTTCTTCTTTTGGCATTTGACATTGTGTGTGGCAACACTCTGATTTAAACTAAAAATAACTAGACAGTGGATACAAATGTATTCTTGACTTACATTGTATTATGGTAAGTTGCATATTATATACTCTGTTTTTTTTCTCAGGTAAGATTTCGACAGACGATGACAGAAGAAAAACAGATGACGTCCCATACCAATCTATTTATTTTACTAAAAAAAGTTTCTAATAATTTTTAAGTTATCTATGGATGGGTTTAAATATAAATCCGTCATACGTCGTGTCTTGTTGTTTTTAACCAGTTTTATTGGTTTATTTAAAAATGACAGATTGTAATTCAATTTTATTGGTTTGACGGAACGATGAACGACAAACGAACGCCGATGCGTATGAACTCGCCTTTAGATTTTTGTCATTTTTGACGCTTGTCAAAGTCTTGCCAAATTATAGGTTATAATTTTGTGTCAACTTTTGTTAAATACCCTGCGTTTTGGAAGATGATGCATTTTGATTCGTATTATTACGTGTGTTTTGTGTCTTTTGAAGTCAAGTGGAGGAAAAATCGAGTGAAAATTAACTGTAGACCCAGAGCACAGCCAGAACACAGTTTATGGTTAATACTCGCTGCCCAGGCAGAAAGTCTTATACACCAATGAAGTTGCCATCGATAAAGTTTGTATACCATTTCGTCGTAGATAAGTGCATCTCGTATATGGTAGAAGGATCAAACTAAACACATACTAAAAACTGAGTAGCTGTAAAATATCGACATCACACGATAGGTAAATAATGGATTTTAGTACTGCAGAAAAATAATGTCAAAAGGTACTGGTTTAAAAAATTAAGATAAGTAATAATTAATAAGTTAATTAATCAACTTTTAAGGTATAAAATTTGGTAGGTGTTATTATTAATAAAATAGTTTGTTTTATTTACCTATGTTGTTTTATTTATTCCTGTGGAATATTACAAATTTGTATTTGTACATAAGTTATATTGATAAATATAATCATAAATGCGGGTAGTTTCATAAAGCTTGAAAGTAAATAATAGTTCTTTTTTATATTTTTTTGGTATGTAGTGTCCTGTTCTTGTTTGTTATGTAGTAACACATACCGTTTTTATTAAATAAAATAACTCAATTACATTTTTTCAGTTTTATACAGTTTTTTTCACAATATTTTGAAGTAATCACTTGTCATCTTGTCAATCAAATTTTAAATATATCCTGCTATGCGTTCCAGTTGTACCAACTTATTTCTTTGTAAAATAAAATAACTACTTTGAAATTAAAATGACAGACACATCTATCACTGTCAAGGATCTTCTCGTTGGACAGACTATAGTTATTTATGTATCAAGGGAATTATAAGGGTATCTAATCTATACTAATATATAAAATCCTTAAGTGACTGACTCACTGATTAATCACGATCCTGCTCAAACCACTCAACGTAAGAAGCTCAATGTTGGCATACAGGTTGATTCTAGGGTGTAGAGGTTCGATAAGAAGGGATTTTTTGAAATTCCAGTTCCAAGGGGGTGAAACCAGCCCTCAAATATTACAATATTTTTTATTTAAAAAACGGTCAAGTTTCCGAAAAAACGCTTAAACGCGTATATTTTATTTTGTTTTCTTACATATTTTAAGATTTTTTAAAAATGTATACAGGGTGTTTCGAAAAATTTGGTCATCGATTAATCACGATCCTGCTTAAAGCGCTTGACGTAAAAAGCTGATTTTTGGAAAACGGATTGAGTTTAGGGTGTAGAGGTTCGATAAGAAGATAAGCAAAATATATACACTAAAATGACATTTAATATTTTCATTTATTTTTTTAATGTTATAATGTGTTTGTACTGGCAGTATCGTCAGTTTCTGGTAGTTTCCACGTTAATGGAACTCCGTATTCCAAATTTAAACTGCACAGTTCTTCGATAGATGGCAGCAGCTCATACCGTAGCATTGATGTCAGAGTTTGGGAGTGTAACAAAAGATGGAGTCTTGTAATAGCCTAAAACAGAGATAGTTTGTCAATAGCGCCCTATACACCAGCTTAGAGGTGTGTAGTTCGTGAACGGACTAGTTCCTATTAACTATTCCGACCCCGGAACAAAAGGAACTAGTTCCCGGTTTCTTAAAAGACTAGTTCCTCAGGACTTATTCCGAGAACCGAGATATAATAATATGCGACGGCGACGGATCGGCCAGCGCGATCGTAGCCCGATGCTAGGCGAGAGTGGGTAGTGCCAACCGTATTTTACCGCTCCCGGAAAGAAAGGAAGCTAGGCCCAAGTAGCACAAATATGTTTATATCAGTTATATAAACTGCTACATAACAATTTGTAATATAACCTTAAATTTTTATAAGAGGTTTATAAAATAAAATTATTTTTTCAAGTTTTATAAGAGTCGCAAACAACACTTTTAAAACAGTATTACGGATTTTATAAAATGTTTATAAATCTATTTTATAAATGTTTTATAAGCACTTTATAAATTAAGCGATAGTTTATCTACAAACTATGCTTCCAACAGTTACTAGATATTAATAAAACACTAATAAAACTGTTTATAAGCAGATTTATAAATATTTTAAAAATAACATATTTGTCTCAGTTAAAATATTTTTGTAGCATGCATCTGCATTTTTGGTTTTAGTTTTCAAGAATAAAATTATAATATCGTGTATTTATAGTGACCAAGATAAAACTGATTTTAAAATGGCAAAGTACACATATATACTATTTAAATGACAGATATGGCTAATTTAAAGAAAGATGTAAATCGTATAAAAAGTATATCGCCTAAAACGCTCCAGGAGTCAAATTTTCCTGCGGAGCAAATTTTACTGATATTATATATCCATATTTGTGGAAATATTTTAAGGCGCTTTTATTTTAATAAGTTTTTGCAGTTATAATAAATATTTAATTTTTAGGAAATTACTGCAAAATTACCTGTAAACTGGAAAATCGACATTGTCCAATATCCGATATTATTGGGAACTAATTCGTTTCTTATAAATACGTTTATTTTGCAATAAATTTCGATTATTTTGTATTGCAAATCCCGACTCGATAAAATGGCCGACATACAGTCGTCCAAATTCAACATAAAATCATGGCGTCGGCTAACAAAACATTTTTGTTGCTCAGAGAGCAGTTATACAATTAATTTGTTTTACAATGATGCTATACGGAACATATTTGTTTTATTACTTAAAATAATGTCTGCAAAATACAATTAAATTCGTCTATATATTCCGGTGCTGTCACATTTACAACAATAAAATTATAGAAGTGTGCTTTTAAATTCGCTAGTAGGTTCATCAATACTTATAACATAGGAAGACATTTTAAAAAATTAAAATTTTTACTAGCATCACTTTCTTCTGGTGTTATATAACAGTTTTTTTTTAATTTCTCTCTGGTGTCAACGTTTCCACAAGAATTTAAAATCCTTTGGTAGTTATCTTTAACTTTCTTTTTAAAATGTCCACTTCTTTTTAGCTTCTTCCAGTTAGAAATACTTGACATTTTAAGTTTTAGGGATAAAATCACAATTTTAAAATATATTTTAAACTCTGACCAAAACCAAAGTTTGAGGTTAGTGCTATAGTAGGTTTATAATTTTTCCTAAATAACATTTTTGTATTTGGGGAAACACTTTGGTTTTTTAATCGTTTTATAAGAATTTTAATTCGTTTCTATAACAGCAATTATAAAATTGTTTTCTTAGAGTAGCGGTCGAGACTAAATTATTGCGAAGATCAAATTGTTTTATAAATCAGTCGTAAAAACTGCTATAAAACATGTCGATAATGTTTTAATAAACTAAAATGCATATTTTTATAGCTGTTTTGTAAATATCATATAATTGTTTTAAATTATATTATAAATCAATTATAAAATATATCTAGCTTAAGCATAAATAGTTGTATAAGATTTGTTATATAAACGTTCCTGAGCATATTAACGAATATGTTTATAAAAATGTTTTACAAATTAGTCGCCAAAACATCTATATAACAAAATAATAAAACACATTTGTCTCTATGATAAATTTGTGTTCTTTGCGTTTATTATATAACAATTCAGTGTATGAGATCGCTTTAATAAATCGTATATAAAACACTTCTCTCATAATAATTTATTGTGCTACTTGGGGGGGGGGGGGGGGACTGATTAAAAGACTAGTTCACGGGAATCTATTCGGTCCGCAGTTCCGAGATATAATACAAGGCCACGACGACAGATCCGGCTTTATCTATGGCCGTATCATATTAAAAAATATCTTATAAAACGAAGTAAATATTGTGACTTTTTAGACAAAAATAAAGAGCTTGAAGTGGGGAAAATGCAATTTTTCGTAAAATAAGAGAGAAATCTTTACCTTCATATTTATCATTTAGCTTCATTTACATGTGCCAGTATTAAGTATTTTATTATTTAACTCCGATTTGAGTTTCTTTTTTAATTTTTTGTTTTTATCTGCAATAAAATCTTACGTTTATGTTTTTAATATAGGCAATTTCACGTCTCGTAATATTTTGCACATTATAAAAATTATACAGATCATATTGTGAATAGTTCTGATTGACAACGAAAAGGAACTATTCCTCTGGAGGAACTAGAACTAAGGAACTTCTGTTTCTTTTTGTTAAGTTTTATTTGCATTAAATTACTAAAATAGTCTTTATTGGAAGATTTTTCTCTGTAAAAATAGCCTCTACCAAAATTCTATTAAAAAATGAAAGACTTGCAAGAGTCTAGTAACAAGACCAAGACAAAGGTAGTCTCGGTCTTGATCTTGCATTTGCTCATAGGCTAATATTTAATATCTACCTTCCAGCACAACAAGGGAGCATTTCCCTTAACATACACTCTTCTGTCTTTGAAAATGTGTTGCAAAGGTACTTTCAAAATGACAGTATAAAAACTGCAACTCGAGCTGCAAATGTTGTAGAGACGATTCTCGTATGCTTGGTCGGTGTTGAAGAAAATCTTCATCTGACGCGAGTTGGACAAATTAAGGTCATTCCATAAGTTTAGTATAAAACCTACAAACATGAATTGATTTATTTTATAGATTATATTCAAATTTAAAAAAAAATGAGAATTAATGAAGCTCACGTTTTGGTATACAGTTAGGTTAAACCAATAAACAATTTTTTTTGAAAGTGGTTTGGACTTTGTTCTTGATTTTAACATTAAATATATTATATTGCAATACACATAAATATGAGCCGTTTATTTTATTTAAACGAAAATTGATAAAGAAAAAAAATAACAAGGAATGTCATCGTTTTTCTAAAAATGAGATAGATTGGCTATACACAATTATAAACTCGGTATTTGGAAAATGAGTGGCAGATAAAAGTTAGATTAATCTACAAATATAGATAAGTTAGATATATTTTTAGCGAGGACCGCAACTCTTTGGAACCTCGGTTACAAAATCGCGGTATTTTGTCGCGGTATTTTTCTGGAACGGTCGCTATTGTAACGCGACTCATGTGGAACCGGTATTCCCATCACTAATTCTTACAGCGCTTTCAGATGGAGCGGAGCGTCCGCGTGTTTTTTCAAAATAGCCGTCGACGAACTGATCCGGACTGAGCATACGCGACCCATGTGAAATTGTTAATATAAACTCATAGTACTTGCTCGAAGTCGCGGACGGTCCGCTCCATCTGAAAACGCTGTTATACAGAAGTGAACGCTCTACAAAAAAGGTCTCTTACAACTTTTCGATAAACCTACTCCTTCAAAAGTTATTTACGGTTAAAGTTAACCACTTGGTAAATTCCTAAATTTTTCAAATTTTTTGACAAAATTATGATTATTTTTAAAAAATTTAATCTATTATTTGGAAAAAAAGCAATTTTCATGATACAATGATAAACAATTTTGAATCATGAAAAAAAACTGAATGCACGACAGGTAGTTAATTCTAATACTTTAGTAATTAATAATAGTATCAGGCAAAAAATGGTTGAAGCTTTAAAAGTGAATAATGACGAAGAGTTCGATATTTCGTAAAAGCTTCTTAAAAATGAAGCCTGATTAAAAAATCAGGATGATTTTAAATGGTTTATAAAGAAAAACATTGATTATTTCATAAATTCAAATTCGTTACAATTCTTTAAACGGTTTAATATTGATACAAGTTTTCTGCAGTTAGGCAGTACGGAATAGTTAAATGATCCTGGATATATGAGAGGCTTAGAAATTGTGAAAAATTTGAGAGTAGTTAATGATACTGCAGAAAGAGCTGTTAAATTGTCAGAAGAATACATTAATATTTTATCTAGAAGTGGAAATGAAAAACTGTAATGAAGTTCATAAAAATTTCTGCACTCATTCCTGGGACACCCTGTATATTGTGTTAATTAATACTAGAATAAAAGGGACTTCATTTTCTTTTGATAATGACAGTCAATGTATTTTATTGTTAAATCATTATTGTAATGAACTTCATTAGTGTTCCGATTGTTAAATTAAATAAGTTAAATATTTAATTGCCATATTGTAAGAGAGTTTTGATCGGTTTTGGTCGCTATTGTTTAATGCGAAAAACCGAACCGTTTGCGCCGCTCGCCCTACTCTGCTAGTGCAGGCTGAGTGGAGGGGAGCGCCAGTCGAGTACCTTGGCTGCAGCAGTTCCAAAGAAACAGTTTGTGGTCGCACGAGAAACAGTGAAGTCGAGTCCGGAGTGCCCCGCCAAGTGACCAGCTGCCAGCCGCCGATCGTCGCCGTACTGTACAAGGTAAGCACCCACCGCCGAAGTGATCGAGGGTAGGTCGTATTATTTTTATTGTTATTAGCGTTTACTCTACTACCTGGGCGCGTTATAGGGATAAGGGAGTTAGTCGCCGGGATTGTTAGGATATTAAAAGCGCGGGAGGACAACCATTGCCGACTGGGCAAAAGAGGGAATACGCTGTGCTAGGGCAGGCCGCCAGGAACGGTGGCCCTTAGAGGTTCTGTCTGACATCTGCTCAGGTACGACGTATCCTTCGGTTGCGGAGACGAGAGTCCTTAGTTTTCTTTATTGACATTAAAAATTACCAGGGTTGCCGACCAGGCAAAAGAGGGACTACGCGGTACTAGGGCAGGTCGTCAGGAATGATGGCCCTTAGAGATTCTGTCTGACATCTGCTCCGGTAAGACGTACCTCTCGGGAAAAGCTAATTACGGGCTAATAATTAATTAATTAATCTTCTTAAGGGACAGCCAGGGTAGTTCAGTAAACGCACGGGTCGCGAATATTTATGGGGCTAGAACAGGATCTCGCCCAAATCCCGGGGCTGGTTTTGTCGCTCCCGTATTTCTCTAGGTGTGCCGTCCGGACGGCATCCTGCAACAGTGACGCTAGACGGGATCTCGCCGAAATACCGAGGCTGTCCTGACCGGGCGGTGTGTGTGCGGGCTGCGCTTATCCGAACGGCATACAACTCGCCGAGACTTCACTAAGGTCAACTGGTATCTCCACTGTATAAAAGCTACCCGTACTGGCACTAGTGGTCTCTCAAACACTTTAAACTTTGGGGGTGGTGCCCGAGGTACCGAACCAAGGCAACTCGGCGTCCGTGAGCGTTCTCAAAAACGGAGAGAGCCTCACAAAACAATATGTGATTCAGCTTGTATAAGAAGAAATATCAAAATCCATCTAAAGAATGTTTATTAAAATAAATCAGCTCTACTTAAATGGTTTAAACTTCATTAGACTGGAAGATTTCTTAATTCCCAACCTTAACACCATCAGAATTGTATATTTTTAAACTAATACATTAAATTTTCAAAAATAATAATAATTTTGTCAAGAAAGTTGAAGAATTTAGGAATTTACCGAATGGTTAACTTTCACCGTGAATAACTTTTGAAGGAGTAGGTTTGTCGAAAAATTGTAAGAGACCTTTCTTGTAGAGCGTTCAATTCTGTATAAGAATATGTGATTGTCATGGCTGCGAGAGAACAAGATCGAGAGAGAAAGAATTTAAACCGCCCTCGTTGAAAAAATACCGAAAAGTGTTTAAAGCGTCCGTTTCTTCCAACTTTGATGCCCTCTAGCGGAACAACGAAGCACTTTCGTATACGTAGTAGCTCTATGTCCACGGAATATTGGGACACCCTGTATAGTGTTACTGAGTTACTACTTGCCTGTAGACAACCCTTCTATATATATGATTACGTCGTTCCCATTATCAATAATGAACCCAGTGATTAAATCGCTCTCATCCAACTTCTGACACATAATCCTTTGGTTATGGTCCCAAATTTTCGATAGAAACTGCGTGGCCACTTGCTTTTTGAGAGCGATGAGCATCAACCTTTTATAAGTGTTCGGTATCTGATGTAACACCAGTGACGGCGCTTGCGGGGACAATAAATACACTTCTACAGTTAAAGAAGTTCCTTTTTCCATCAACAACCACTCTCTGAGTACCGGTTTGAATGAACTGTTCAGTTCTGTGTTAATATTCGCTAGGTTAATCGTATTGACAGGGAGACTCCTGGTGTAAGGCTCTGGTACTTGGTTTTTGATGGATATGTTCCTGAAATTCGTGCATTCTTTGCTATGGATTTGGGCTATTCCTCTGAAGTCCCAGACATTCCTTAACAAAGAACTCAGGTCGTAAGAACAGTAGCCTAAAAGTACATAGTCGGGCTGGGATTCTTCGAATTGTTTGGTGTAGTCCTTCGGGATGTTCGGGTAGACTTTCGCAATGTTCTTATCCCAGTGATTCTCGCCGAAGATTTTGGGGGTTATATCTGAAGTTACATACCTTTTAACACCATATATCTAGGAAGATAAAGGCTAGTTATAATCTGGATATTGCTAAGAAAGTAAAGACTGTTCAGCCATCGTTGAACGATGGCTGAACCATTGATTAAAAATCAATCATCAAATACCATTGATTAAAAAAGAATAAGTAGTATTAATAAGTATTACCTCCACTATAAACCTTCTCGAATCCAGGTATTCTAGCAGTTTAATTTTAGGTAAATGATTCGTAAAGTAAATATGAGATTCGTCAAAATATATCGTTTTGTCTATTGGTTTCTCGATAGTTGTACATCCTGCCACGAAGGGAATGGAAAATTTACAAAAAATATCGGTATACCTGAAATAATTAAAAGAGCTTAGATAAATTAGAACAAATTGGTTGAATCTATACAGAACAAAGAGTATATTGCTACCAGTGGCGTGCATATAAATAGGCTAAAAGGCGTTGCCTACTCCAGACAAAATCATAGTCTTTTTTATATCATTACAAATACTCATAACTAATCCAATAAAGATTCGCAAACCTTACCCTGCTTTAATTTGCACTGCACGCCACTGTAGGCTAAACAGTTTTCCACTTACCAACGAAAGAGATTAGACAGCGTTAAAAGTAAAAATGTTTTGGTGTATTGTGGTAAACTAGTGATTTATTTTTACAACTTTCAATATCATTTACCCAGTATTGTCGAACACTTCGGAGGGAAAATCAGTAATTTTCTTTATTTTAACCACCATAGGATTCAGTTCGATTTTCTGACTTCTAGTCAGCAAACGATTGACCGAGGCAGCAACCAAGAACTTCGGCACGCTAGCCTTGTACTGCTCCACGCTAAATATACTCATTTCGGGGTCGGTAAAGAAGGTTTCTCCCTGAATTTGCAAGTTTAATTTGGTCACAGACTTCTCGGCTTTTTCTTTTGGACCTTTTTTCTTCTTTATTTCCGGTTCAGTTTTTTTCAGTACTTTTTTAACGTCAGTTTTGGAACCTTCCATCTTACAAGGCTTCACGAAGCCTCTGAACTTCAAATGGGGCGGTCTGGTTTTGTTTATCGCAAATTCTATCATATCGGAAAATAGTTCTGAAAGAATTATTTTAGATATTACAAATGAACTTTTGAAGCATGGTGGTCCCGAGCTAGTAAAGTATCTAAGACTGTTATTTAACAAGATTATCGAAACATCAGAAACTCATCAAGAATGGCACAAAAGTTTCACAATTCCTGTATTTAAAATAGGACAAAAATCTACACCCGAAAAGTACAGAGGCATAACTCTCCTCAATACAACCATGAAACTCTTCACTAATACTTTGAAAGGGAAACTCGAGGAACACATTTTTTTAGGTTTTACACGAAATCGATCAACTAGAGACGCCGTATTTATCATTAAACAAATTAAAGAAAAAGCAATGAGTTTAAAATACTAATATCTGTTTCATCGACTTGACTAATAAAGCATTCGATAAAGTACGCCTATCTGACATTATAAACATATTGAAAGAGAAAAAAGTGCCTGATAATATTGTGAAAATCGTCAGAAAACTAAACATCGATAACATAACTCAAGTGAAAGCAGGGAATAATCTAACACGAGACATACCAACACCAGGAAGCATTAGACAAGGAGACAACATTAGTCCCTTCTTATTCAATCTCTTAATGGACTTCTCTCATCATAGAAAAGGTGACCTCGATGGATATCGGTTATCGAATGGAACACAACAGAGTTAACATGGTGCGTTACGCTGATACGTTTTTTTTTTATGAGGACGTCTCCAAAGCTCTATCAATCAAATCCCAATTTACAATATTAATGGGTGATTTGAATGCTAAAGCTGGACAAAAAGAAGATGAAGCAGAAATATGCGTGGGTACATATGGTTATGGTGAAAGAAATGAGAGAGGAGCGAAAATGATCGAATTCACGCTGCAAAATGGACTATATGTAATGAACACCTTCTTTAAGAAACATCCAAATCGAAAATGGACCTGGACAAGTCCGGACGGAATTACCAAGAACGAGATAGATTTCATCATGACTGATAAAAAATGGATAATTAGAGATGTACAAGATTGGGCGAATTCTCCATAGGAAGTGACCACCGAATAGTTCGAACTAGAATTGAATTCAACCTTAAATCTGAACGACAAAAAATGATAAGGAAGAGGACCATGAGAAAATGGGTAACACCAGAAAAGCCAGAAGAATATAGAGCAATGGCAGCTGAATCTGGAATCTGGAAATCTGGAAAGAATGAAAAATATGGAAATTGAAGATATAAATAATCACATTGTAACTATTTTAACGCAAGCTATTAAAGAAAATTGTCCTAAAAAGGATAATCAGGGAAACACAAAACTAACCCAAAACAATAAAGACCTGATAAAGGAACGTAGAGTTATGATAAACAAACATAATAAGATGATTATAGGAAACTTAACAAGAAGATATCAAAAGAGATAAGGAAAGACATCAGAACCCACAATACCAACAAAATAACGCAACTCATTGAGAGAAATCAAGGATTAAAAGTTTTCAAAAAAGAGGCAATCATAGGGAGAGCACTAATTCATAAATTGCAAAATGCAGAAGGACAGATAACATCAAATAGAGCAGATATTCTGCTTGTTACGGAAAATTTCTACCAGCAGTTATATGACAACCCAAACCCTAGAAACTCGTATAGTACCATACCAACTGTGATGAATCAAGGCTCAGAAGAAATCCCAGATATTACTTTAGATGAAATATCGGCGGCATTAAACTTTATGAAAAATAATAGGTCTCCCGGTGACGACAATATAGCTATTGAAGCCATTAAAGAAGGAGGAGAAAAGGTTCTCAAGGCTTTGCAAATATTATTCAACAAATGTCTTGTCGAAGGAAGAACGCCATCAGAATGGGATAATGCCAATATAATCCTATTACATAAAAAAGGGGACAAAACAAACCTTACCAACTATCGGCCTATTAGTTTACTGAGCCACACATACAAATTATTCACAAAAATCCTCACAAATCGTCTCTCCCTAAAACTAGAACAATATCAACCAAGAGAACAGGCTGGATTTAGATCGAACTTCGGTACAAATGACCATCTGTTGGTGGTGAAGTCCCTAATAGAAAAATGTGTTGAGTATAATAAACCCCTCATTTTAATATTTGTCGACTACGAAAAGGCATTCGACTCTATCGATCAACACAAATTATTCAAGGCCCTAGCCGAATGTCGTATAGACACCCGTTATACTAACCTTTTAAAATATATATACGACCATGCAACAGCATCTGTATCGCTACACGAAAACACAAATAAATTCCGTATTAAAAGAGGAGTACGGCAAGGCGATACAATTTCCCCCAAATTGTTCATAGCACTATTAGAATATATGTTCAAAAGACTAAACTGGGAGGAAATGGGCATTAATGTTAACGGGGAAATGCTCAATAACCTGCGTTTTGCTGATGACTTGGTGCTGATTACAGACAAAATACACGAAGCTCAAAATATGCTAAAAACACTTAAACGGGCGTCAGATAAATTGGACTACGCATAAATTATTCAAAAACCAAACTAATGACTAATCTTGTTATTAGTGGAAATGTCTCGGTAGACGGAGCAAATATAGAACAAGTATATTCATATAAATATCTGGGGCACGAAATAACAATTGGCCGCGATAACCAGACGCACGAGATACAAAGAAGAGTAGGACTAACATGGGCAGCATTCGGCAAACTAAGATATGTGTTAAAATCAGATCTACCAATGTGCTTAAAGAGGAAGGTGTTCCATCAGTGCGTTATGCCAGTACTTACATATGGCGCAGAGACACTTACACTGACGAAAAAGTCCATAGAAAAAATCCGTGTAGCCCAACGAGCTATGGAAAGAGCAATGCTTGGTGTATCTCTAAGAGACAAGATACCCAGTACAGTTATAAAACAGCGTACACGAATAACAGATGCTATATATCTGCTTAAAAAACTCAAATGGAACTGGGCTGGGCATATTGCCAGAAGAACGGATGATAGATGGACCAAGCTAATACTAGAATGGCGGCCAAGACAAGATGCTCTCAGAAACAGAGGCAGACCTCCGACAAGATGGTCAGATGACTTGAAGAGATTTAGGGGAAACTGGATCCAAGTGGCACAGGACCGAGAAGAGTGGAAGGATTTGAGGGAGGCCTACGTCCAGCAGTGGACACTTCAGGCTGGTTGATGATGATGATGTTACGCTGATGATGCAGCCATTATCGCGGAGACAGAGGACGATATGCAGAGACAGATTCATAAATTCTGTCAAATAAGCCGATAATTAAACATGATTATCCCTACAGAAAAAACTAAATGCTTAACTTTCTCTAAAGATCCGGTAAGATTTCAGATATATATATATATATATATATATATATATATATATATATATATATATATATATATATATATATATATATATATATATATATATATATATATATATATATATATATATATATATATATATATATATATATATATATATATATATATATATTCAGATACCTAGGATAATATGTCGCACTACCATGATCTAGAGAAAGATCTGAGAAGCCAGATAAACAGAGCAACGGCCATGTCAGGATGTCTGAAGCAAATAGTGTGGTCAAACCTCTTCATGCGAACAGACAACAAAATTAAAATTTATAAGACCTGCATCTTAAGTTCTAATATAAAAATATATAATAAAGTTCTAATAATGAAAACTACTTTAATATTGGCACTCCACGAGAACTTACAGAAGCTGCAAAAAGAGCAGAAGCCAGTTTACTTCCATAGAAAAATAGGGGGCGATATGAAATAGCATTGAAAGTATACGAAAAATGATGTGCCGAAAGAAATGTTAAGAATATTGCTTCGGAGACAGTCTTGATGGCATATTTTAGCGACATGGCAAGGCAGAAAAAAACATCTACTCTTTGGGCTACGTACAGCATGATACGGACAATGCTAGAATTAAGGGAAAAGACTGACATATCAAAATATCACAAACTCGTCGCTTTTTTAAAAGGCCAGAATGTAGATTTTAAGCCAAAGGAGTCTAGCATTTTTACCAGGCAAAACTTGGAGGATTTTCTCACGAAAGCACCTCAAGAATTACTTATGTGGTTGTAAATAAAATCTATTACTATCTTTGAATAAAAATAATGTATAATTTATAAAGTATAATGCTATCCATATGTTCATGCAAGAAGATAGTAATTACGCTATAAATAAATAATTACCGTTGAAATCATCTCTGTATACCATAAAGGAACCTTCTTTATCAACTGATCCATTTTGATCGTTCGTAATATTCGCAGCCTTAGCCGACGTTCTAGAGATGGATTTGGAGTTGACCAAATGCGTTTCTTCGATACGTGCTTCGACGAATCCTTCATAATCCATGTCAATTTCCTTTACATAAAATATAGTTGATTTGTCTGCCTTAGCCCTTAAAATATACATTTTTATGATTAATAGTCATCTAAATAACTAAAGAAACAAGAAAAAGTCATCTTATCCGATAGTGAAGTACCCTTAAGAGCGATCAACTCAGTAACCGTCAATTCGAAGTTGGTCAAAGAATGCATAGAGAAGCTGAACAAATTAGGCAAAGAAAATAAAGTTATCCAACAACTTAAAGCAGAACGCAAGAACCTGGAACATTCCATCCGCAACCTAGAATAGAAATCTTGCAACGGTTTTCATGCATCCGTTGTCCGACGATACGACGATACGAAATTAATTTTAATGGTTGAATTTAAAGACTTCGATTGGTTAGGAAATTACGCAGTTTTTAAATTTATTGCATTTTCATGTTCATCGGATATACGATTTGTTTGTGACTGGTGTCATTTTATATTTTCATTTCCATAACGATTTCGCTGTTTTACTTAGAGCGCTGTTTTATAAGAGCTAGCAACGTTTTCGAGAGAGAATTTTAGAAAACTGGTTCTTTAATATATCTTTTGCTATACTTTCCTGAACAGAGTGCCGACCGTCTGGCTGCCGGTAGACGTTGCTTTCACTACTGCGCATCATACCTGTATTCAACATCTGTTTACTACTGCGCATCACAAATTCTCCTTGTATTTCAGAAACTAAGGAGGCTAGGACAAACCTATGTGTAGCACATTTAGTTTCATAAAAAAGAAGCAAAGTAATGTGAAAATCGCATCATTGTGTCTCTACTCATAAACAGGAAATCCCATAAAATACACACAAATGGGATACCCTGTACAAATGTGATCGCATTAGTCTACCGGCAGCCAGACGGCCCGCACTTTGGCCAGGAGAGCACAGAAGAGAGCAAAATGCTCTTCTTGAGAACTGCTGTCAGTTTTCTAGACAGTTTTCCGTTGTAACTGACACTCAAAACTGGCAGGTAAAGCGTTAGGTGTAGGTGGGGCTTTAAAAATATTGGTAATTTTACGAATCTGAATTTTTTTTCTGGCGATCTCAGGCTGTTTTTCAGAAAAACGAAAAATTATTTCAACATCGAATTTTTCTTAATTTCTCATATTTTTAAGGTTTTCTAGCACAAATTTTGTTAGGTATTCAATAAACATGTTGTTTTTGCTATTTTCTGTTACTTTTTTAACCAATTCTATGCATAATAGAGGAAAATTTGCTAAAATAAATTTGTAAACAATCTGAAAATGTTGGATTATGTGTTTCTGACATTTAAAGCAACGTTGCCAATGTTAAACCTAAATTTAGCGCAATTCATTTCGCTCCCTCTGGGATTACGAAAGGCGGTCACCGGAGGAACGGCTCCTATACATAACTGCTATTTTACCAACGAGATTTGACTGTTTACATATAACCACGAAGTTGTACGAAAGAGTTTTGATTGCATTGATTTCAATTTCTATGCGGAGGAGGTTAATCTTTTTTTGTTATATTATATCAAAAAAAGATTAACCCCTTCCGCAAAGAAGTTGAAACCAATGCCATCAAAACTCTTTCGTGCAACTTTGTGGATATTGGAATATTTAACTATTATTGTCCCCAAATCTCCATAGGTAATTTATTTAAAATCCTTAATAACCCGAAAAAATACAAAATATGGCAACGTTGCAAATTTTCAAATTTCTAGATTAGATCTAGAATCTAGAATATATCTCTCTCATTACATAGGAGAGAGAAAGAAGGATATATGAAATGTCAAACTTCCATCTGGTCTCAATTTTCTTTGTTATGGTGGGTTCATACAGCCAAATAAAATAAAATAAGAATAAAATAAAATAAGAAATAAGGAATTCTTATTTGTGTGCGTTCATACAGTCAAATAAAATAAAATAAGAAATATATATTTGCTCATGCGCAGTACGATGAGGCTGGATAAAAGTTAACTTTTACGATTGTTTATAGTAATTTTACTATTTATAGTATATTTATTTATTCGTTGCCTACTATATTATAAATTTTACTTATGTGAAATTATAAAAAATAAATTAAATCCAAACTGAAAATATTTGTAGGTTAGAATTGAGCTTGCGCAAAGCCGTTTTCACATAAAATAAAACAAGAAGTTAAAAGATAAAGACTTCTTATTTTATTTGTTATTTTATTTGGCTGTATGAACGCATGTACGGTATCCCATATAACCAACTTTCTTATTTTATTTTATTTTATTCTTATTTTATTTTATTTGGTTGTATGAACCCACCATTATTTTGTTAAGAAAAGTATTTTTCAGTAAAATTTTGGACATTTTTCTATCCTCAATCAAGTGTGGCTTTTAGATAAACTATAATATAATGAAAATGTAGTGAAATTATTACTTTACAGGGCTGAAATAAAGAAAAATTCAATGTTGAAATTATTTTCCGTTTTTCTGAAAAACGGTAAGAGACCGTCAGGAAAAAAGTTCAGATTCGTAATCTACGACTTCAAAATAGGGTATATATCAATTTTCAGGTTTCCCAATAATTATACCAAAATATTAATAATCTTACGCATTTCCCATTTTTTTCTTATCAATAAAAACTTGAAACTCTATCACAGACGATTGAAGAGCTGTTAAATCCCCTATAGATAGTTCACTAACTTGATGTTCAACGCACACAGGAGCGAATACAAGCCCATTCTTCGTTACAGTTCGGAATATTTTAACACTATCCGGTGATATAATCTAAAAGAAAAAAAAATTGAACTCAAATATATCTTAAAATTAATTCTCCCCAACTTTGACTGCTTTCTCCCAACACAACACATCAAAAGAATACCGGCATTTTCCTTTAAGCAGTTCATACTCAACGCGGCAAAAATTCTGCTGTTTATCTAATCTGATCAAATTCGGCGGATCTTCGTCTTCTATAACGTTTAATTTTTGCTTGTTGTTGATTTTTTCCGCTTTTTGCTTTTTCTTAGTCTTCTCTTCTTTGGCCTTGAAAGAGAATGCCAAGAGGAATTTTAGTTTAAACGTAATCATTTAAGAAAAATTTATGTTTGCAACCTAACACTAATTTTAAATAAGTGAAATAATTATGTCATGTCAACTTAATGTCATTTAAAATATAATTTAGGTAGTTAGGCCAGGGGTTACCTGGGGTTAATTTTGAATAAAAAAGATTGGAAAGAGGATATCTGACACATCCGTTGTCCCCAACAAAATGGCGTCTAAGAACACTAATTCTCCTCCAGCCCGTATATGGGCGTTATGTGTCTTTGTATTCTTTAGTCATTCACGTCCAAGGTTATATACTATATTAATAACCTTTTAATAAACTTGATTGAGGTCACCCCGTATTTATAGAAATTATTTTCGTGACCACCCAGTATTATACCAATTTCTTAAACTTATTTCCTAATAAATTCACCTGTTAATAAAACCAAATATTTATACATCAATAATCGTCATATAATTGCCATACCTAGCTATTTTATTACTAATTATTGCTAATAAAAGTATTAAGTCTTTTTAAACATAGCACGTGTAGCTTTTATGGTCTCGTGCCTTTAAAATATACTAAAAATATGCCAGAAATACACAAATATGTGTTAAATTGCAATATAAGATTAGATAATTAATTTCTTTATTTCGTGTTTCCTGTTGAAAAAACAGCATGTTGTATAATTCTCCAAGATTTCTATCAAATTTTAGATCAAAATATTTGCTAAAGTTTGTACAACGATACATGACAATGACAGTTGTGCCTGTCATTTTTTCGATATCGTCTGTCGAAATCTCCTCCGACTTGTTGGACAGAGCCTCATGCTTTAACTAAAACTTATCTTATACATATAGATAGGAACTATCGAAAACATAAATAATCATCTTATCCGAGAGTCAAGCAGCCTTCAAGGCGATTAAAAGTTGATTCTCACTAAACCTTCCATATCAGCTCCCTTCCGTTTACATAAAATATTATATCTGTTTCCCTTCCATTCCATATACTTTCCTTCCATACATTATTTTTTTGGCGGACGGACTGAATCGTATCGGAAACAACGTTGTCAAGTTCTTACGTTTGTACCAGCTCTGTTAAGGTAACTGTCCATTTGAGAGTATTACTCTCGCGAGAACCTCTCGATAGTAGTTCTCGCATATCGATACACGTCTGCGACTACCTATCGGAGAATATTCATTTTACTATCAATAGTTTACGCAACGATTTGCTCTCAAGTGTATACATATTATTTTTAATAGCGGATAGTTACTTCCGAAATACGATTACGTTTCGTATTGTGATAGTTCTAGCAGAGAATTATTAATTTAAAATGGCAGCTACGCGCAAAGAGTGGTCAAAAGACGATACTTTAATAAGTATATACGAGGAAAATACAGTTTTGTGGGATACCATGGGATTAACTATCTGCACTTCTATGTTTCTTTCACACTACACATATTATTTATTCATTTATTCATTCACTAACAAATTAAATGAAAAATTACGAAAATACAAACTGAATCAACACATACTAGAACTGACGGAAAGCTATTTAAAAAATCGACCACAAAAAATTTGCATGGAAAATATTGAAAGTAAAACTACCATGGCGCCATATGAGATACCGCAAGGAGGAAATCTACCATCTCTCCTGTATATCCTTTATACAAACGATCTCAGCGAACTAGCATTAAATCACTAAATGGCATCATATATGGATATGCCGATGATACATGTTTAGTATATACAGGAACAGATCAGAACATCCTTGAAACAAACATAAACAAAGACCTGCAAAAAGTACAAACATGGTGCTACAACAATCTCCTAACCATAAACGAGCTAAAATCAGAATATATGATATTTAAAACAACAAAACAAAAATTAAACTTACAAATAAAACTACAAAACCATATTCTACGAGAAACATCAACAATCAACTATTTAGGGTTAAAAATACAAAATAAGTTGAAATGGGATGTTCATGTAGTAAAGCTGAAAAATGAAAATATACGCACAATTGCAGCTTTAATAAAAATTCAAAAATTGATACCAAATAACATGAGGAAACCTTATATCACGCACTGTTTACCTCCAGGATGAACTATTTAATGAATATATGGACTAATACGACCGAAAAGAATTTAAACGCATTACAACATCAACAAAATAAAATTTTAAAATTAATATATAAATTACACAAAAGAACACCAACAAACATATTATTTGATACAGTGCAAGAACTAGATATAAAACAATTAATACTTTTTAATAATTTGCTAAATATTAAATTAAATACAAACAAGGAAGTTCAGAATTACCAAACAAGGAAAAAGTCACATATTAGATGCCATAAAGTAAAAAATAAGACATTAACACAGAGACTAACAGCAAAAAGAATTCAAACATTCAATAGTTTAGCAGAGAAGGTAAAAAAATTGAAATTTATACAATTCAAAAAGAGGATTAAATGGTTAATATTAAATAGAACCATACACTAAATCCAGGAATCGACGACAGAAATAATTAAGAAAAGAATGCCTTCGATACCATCTGGCCAGGATCTGGTACCAACAGGTCACTGATGCGACAGATGAAGAAGGACGACACCCAGATCTTTTATGATATGTATATGCTGTACATTATTTATGTGTTGTATATATGTTTTATATGAGGGAATAACTAAATTGATTAAAAAAAAACACAAAACACGTTAATACACAAAGAAAGGCAGTTGATGAAACAGAAATCTCAAATGGATACCCTCCTGACAGATATGTATGACAGTAAGCATTTGGAGAGTTTTTAGTTATCTAGCCGATAGCAAAAATTCTTTAAATCGCTCTCAAATGGATACTCTCTTTAGAGTGACTATCGAGAGTCACTCTCACGAATTACTCTCAAATGGACACTTATTACCACCTTGAAATCAACCTTACCTGAGAATCAACCTTACCTCGGACAGTGCCTCCTCAATGAACACTTCAGTAGATTGAAGCTAAGAAACAACGGCGCATGCAGATTCTGTGGGGAAAATGGGGAAACACCAGAACACGTCATCGGAGCAATACTACGGCTCAAGGAAGGTAACGGCGAGAGACCACCGTGGCAGGATATTACGGACAGAGGGCTGGTTTTCAAAGCTCTCTGGGCTCAGTGGAATTCACTGGTAATTGAGAATGGATTGTTAAAGCGGACGTGGGAAAGTGCGGATGGCAGGACAGTAACAACTCAGTTACTGGTACCAAGGAAGAAAGTTACCCAGGTATTGGAAGAAATTCACGGTGGTAAACCTAGCAAAACTGGAGCCCAACTTGGAGTAAACAAGACCTTGAGTAAGCTGAGAGAGTTTTTACTGGGTGGCTTATTGAGAAGATGTCAAGAAATGGTGTCGACAATGTAAAATTTGTGCAGCCAGCCAAGGACCAAGCACTCGATCTAGGGGAAAATGAAACAATATAACGTGGAACTTTGTACGTGGGTAACAAGTACGTTTTGGTGGCGATGGATTATTTCAGTAAATGGCCGGAAGTTTTTGCCATTCCAAACCAAGAAGCATCGACTGTAGCTGAAGTATTAGTCAATAATGTCTTCAGTAGATTTGGAATTCCCTTAGAGCCTCACACTGACCAAGGAAGGAACTTCGAGTCAAGACTGTTCCAGAAGATGTGTGATCTACTGTGGTATTCACAAGACCAGAACAACGGCTTTACATCCGCAGTCTGATGGGATGGTCGAAAGATTCAATAAGACCATTGAAGGACACCTCTCGAAAATGGTGGACGAACATCAAAGAGATCGGGATCAGCACATACCGCTATTTCTAATAGCATATAGAAGTGCAGTTCACAACACCACCAGATTTTCACCATCGAAAATTTTGCTTGGTCGAGAATTACGGTTGCCTTGTGACTTGGTGTTCGGATCACCAGACGACAGCACCACGAACGTAGTGGACTACGCGGATGAACTGAAGGAAAGGTTATTGGAAATTCATAAGACCGTTAGAAGGAAGATTGGGCCAGCCAGTGACCGGATGAAAGCTCGTTACGACCTCAGAGCTAATTCTACGGGATTTCAACAGGACGATATGGTGTGGTTATATAACCCGCAGCGCAAGAAAGGAAGGTCCCCAAAGTTAACTCCAGCATGGGAAGGTCCTTATACAGTCATTAAGAGAATAAATGATGTTGTGTACCGGATTCAACGCAGCCCTAGAAGTAAGATGAAAATCTGGATCGATTGAAGAGATACCGGACAGGAAACCTTGAGAAGGGGGCAATGTCAAGGTGTATGTGACCCTAAATTGTATTGCTGGTTGCCTACATTGTCGCAACGTGTATTGCTGATTGCCTACGTGTCAAGAAACCTGGCGAATTCGCCAGAAAGTAAAAGACATTTTTAGGCGCCATCTCTTAATCAAGTCGACAAGTAAGCGTATCAGACAATCGAATTTACTGGTAGATGGCAGAAAAATAGTAGGAGTATATAAAGGTCCGCGCTTAGCAGTTGGACCAGTTTGAAGTTTGAATATACCGCGTTCTAAATTGCGAATCGGACAATTTGGCGAAGGAATTTTATAAATAGTTGTGCGTTTAACTAGTATAAACTGTGTGTAAATAGTAAATTTAGAAGAAAAATAAATTCGTTAAGTATTTTATCGTGAGTTTAAATTAGTGGACCCACGGAATCCGTAACAATACTGTCGTTGAGGCTGTGTATATCATATTGCGTTATGTTTTCCCATTCTTCTTTATAAGGACCAAGTGAAGTCCATTTTAATGAAGCTGGTACTGCTTCGCGACCTCTAACCCTCCTGCCCATTCCTTGTATCATGCCTCCTGCTAAGCATTTGCCAAGCGTCGAACGACTTGGGCAGTTCATTGTAGTATATAGTTCACAATAATCACCAAAGGCGGCTTTGGTGATTGATTTGAAAGGCGGCTTTGTCACAATGATAAACAACTTCAAAAAAGAAATGATAATTGAAAAAATTGCAATTTGTTGGTGGCAAGCTCATTATTTCGCTCTTAAAAATAATTAACCAAGGCATGTATTGACATGAACAAGTAGGCAAGTATTGAAAAAACAAAATGCTCAGGAGACTGCTGGTTCTG